TTAAAACGATCTCAATAGTTTTATGACAAAGAAGAAGAAGCATACAATATAAATTATTAGTGTAAAATGATTTTTTTAAATTAAAAGTATTTTTTTATTGGTTTTAATTTAAAAAAACTAAAAAAATAAGTTGTCTCAACAAAAAATATATTAATAATTCTTTAATTTTTTAAAAACTAAAACTTATTTAAAAAAAAAAGAGTAAACACATAATACTGAGACACCAATTTACTAAAAACTCCTTCATAATTTTCGTCATATGACATTCATTCTTCTTTGCTTTCTCGTTCTAACACCAAAAAATGGGTTATTTTTCAATTTATTAGATAAATATTAATCCACATATTTTTGATAATTTTCTTAAAATCTTGTAAAAAAATTTAAAAAATTCTTCGTTTAATTTTCTCAAATATTTTAACTTGAGTAAAATTTAATTTATGAAAAGTTAATTTTATTTTATGTTACTTTTATAATTTTACATTTGTTGGAAGAATAAAATTTATTATTATATTATTTATAATAGACAAAACATTTTTTATTTAACTTATTTTTTGACTAAAGAATGAAAATTAGTAGTTTCTTTCTATTTTACAGAGTGTCTTTAGATTCTTATACATTCTAACAAAACATTTGAATAGTATATAAAATAATTGTTTTATGTATTATCAAAAACCGTGTCAATGAATAAAAAAATATATTAAAAAACATTTATTATTTAAACAGCTGGACTTATTAAAAAAATGGAAAAGTGAAGGGTGCGAAATTCAAAATCTGAAAAAATAGTTTGACCAATGAGGAAAAGGAAGAACACGACACTGATATGTTCACGCATCCCTATGAATGTCTTCACTGTTCACATTTTAGCGGGAAGCTCCTGCTTTTATTTTTAAATCGCATAATCACGGAAAAAGGTGAATATTTTAAACTATTTAAATATGAATGACACATTTTTTGTTTTAAGCCATTGCACGAAGGTAGATTTAACACGTGAACCAAACACACACCATCGTAACTTTTAGGATGCTAATTTATGTTGTTGTTTTTTCTTCGTAGTTTTGGAAATTGGATGACACCAATTAGTTCAATGATTTGAACGTGGAAGGAGTTAAATATTCTATTTTGAAATCAAGATAGCTTTATTTAACTTTAACTGAAAATCAGTTTATTTATTATTTTAATAATTATTTACTTTAATATATTTTATATTTATAACAATAATTATTATTATTATTATTATTTTAAAATATTGTTATTAATTTATTATATATTTATTATATTATAAAAATATTATTTTATTAAATTCAAGTATATTCTACGAACTCATATTTTTAATTATTTAATCATTAGTCAAATTTTAAAAATATTAGGTAAATCAACCACCATCTACTCAGTTTAGAAAACTAACAACTCTTATTTTCAATTAACAACCTTAAATAATAATATAATAATAAATAATATTTTTACATTAGTGTATTTAATAGTTAAATATATTTTTCCCAAAACAAGATGTAAAAACATCATTTTCGTATTTTATCACACAATTTCACATAAACTATTTTAATCTTGTTAATGTATTAGCCTATGATCCTCTAAGTAGATATGAAAGCTATGATGAGTCATTGAAGCACTAAGAGAAGCAATTCCTTACAAGACATGTAACATGAGATATGAGTTCACTATAACCAGTTGTTTATACCAACACGTTTTGCTCACCTCTTTTATATAATCAAAATTCCATTTTTTTAAAATAGTCTTATATTTGTTTTGTTTATGAAATTTTCCAACAACTTTTTTATTTTTATTTTTTTTCTCTGCGGGTAATTGGTGAAACGGTTCCATAGCATCATGAGGATGTTTGATGTTGATCTACTTGCAAACAATGGAAGTTTCCCAACCATTTAAAATTGTTCCAATAATTGACACAGATCAACTTTTTTTTTGGATTTAGTCCTCAAAAGTTTTGTATTCCTTCAAATGAAGCAAATCTTAAGTACATGTCTTTGGCTAATTGTTTTATTGCCAACAACAAATATTATATTCTCTAATTTCGATCCATGATTTTTTTTTAGACAAAAACTTTGCATGCACTTTCTTGGTGTAAGGTTTACAAATATTATATTATTTCAAGCAAATTAGATAGATAATTTATTTTAAATAATCATATTAAAAAACAATATTTTTAATTATAATTTTTATTTTAATTTAATATAAAAAAATAGTAAACTGGACCTAACCCATACTATTATTCCTATCCACATAATTGATGGAAGTTGAGAAGTCAAATACATTAAAGACACTCTTGGTGTCAAAATCCACATGCAGATGAGATAGGACATGGGTGGCATCAACAATGAGAATTTATTTGATACACTTCAGTTTATTTATAGTTGTTGAGGAAGATGAAAAATGAGTTGGTTGGTGTTGGCAATGATCAAAAGATCAATGATCATGCATAGTAGTAGCATGAATAATGCATTATCTTCTTCAGGATTTGTTTGCTTTGGAAGTGGACATGGAAGTTGTAACCAAAATCCTATAATCAGATGTTGTTGTTCATAAAGCACCTCTGTTCTTGTTTCTTTTCTCTTTCTCTGTCCCTTTCACCAAGTGAAACCCATCAACCACTTCTTCGTTAACGAAAGTGAAACCTCTTGCTTAGTGTTTTTCCTAATAGGACTAGGTTGTTACATTTTCATACACACACTTCATTTTTCTGTGTTGCTGTTTCAGGAAATTTTAAGCATGCAAGAAATTTTTTTGAAAAATAAAAAATAAAAAATCTAAAACAATTGTTCACTTAGATTATCAATATTACGAGATCTAGGAATTTAATTTGTTGAGTAAATTTTTCAATTCAAACGTTGGTAATAAAGAAGAAACACACACGGGATAAGTTTTATGTCGCTTTTTCATTAAATCGACATTAAAAACTAAGTTGTATTGCTTTTTAGTCTTGTAATAATTACCCTCAATGCATTAATTAAAAAAATTCAAATTTAAATAGGAAGTATTCATGTGTTTTAATAGAATTTAGTAACTCCCAACCAGAAACTTGCTGCGAATTTGAAATCACATAAATATTTGAGTCATTGATTTCAAAATGCAGTCAGAACTCTGAAGTCTAATAATAAATGAGCAACCCTACTCAGATTCTATTCTGATATCTCTGATTCCACCAAAAAAAAAACACTTGCCCATTATTTGTTTTGATTAATTAAACAACAATTATCGTAAAAAAAATAAACTTTTCTTCATATAACAAGCTAATTTAAACCAGAATTAAGCACAATTGCATACACACACACACAGATATATATATATATATATAAGCCAAATATCAGTAACCATTGAACTTTTAAACTTTTTTTATAAAGAACTTTTCGTATTTGTATTTATTACAACGTTTTGTAAATGCTCAGTTATATCTCTTGTGAGATCATGAATGCAAATATTTCTACACTCTGAACCACTTATTGTAAGTGTTTATGTGATTTATGATGAGTTGTTTTTTTATACTTTTACACTAATTTTCTTGTGTATTGTATTTGAGAACTATTTTAGTAAAATATCTTATTTTAAGATTATATACTATTTTTTTCTAATAAGTACTTCAATATTATACAGAATACAATATCTCTTAACTTTTATTTATTTTGTATTCTTTATTTTTAGATTTTAACTAATTTGCTTTGTTTTTTTTGTTTTTTTCTTCCACAATCTCTTATGTTTTAATCTTTGGAGTTATATATATATATATATATATATATATATATATATATATATATATATATATATATATATATATATATATATAACACAATCTCCATATTAAAAGATGCTACTTCTTCTTTAATGAAAATTGTTATGAAAAAATACGTTATGTTTAAAATTACACTGAAATGCCTTATAATAGAATACCATTATAAGAGATTTTGAGAAGAACTTCAAATTTAAAACTTGAAACTCATTTAAATAAATAGATATTATTTATGTTAAAAAATATATTGTTTACGTGAATGGATCTGAAGAAGAAAAAAAAAAAGGTGGTTTGGTTGGGTGGGGAGAATCCTTTTGTCAATAATAGTTTTTGTTTAAGATGCCACAGAAAACGCGTTTTGGCTATCAGCCAAAAGGCCAAACACACCTTCAACAAAATTTTGTTTCTCGTTACTTTACCATTGCTGATAGTTTTTTTAAAGTATAAAATTTAAAATATCACCAAAACCATGATTTTTTTTTCAATAATAACAGCATTTAATAATTTTTATTAAATTAAAATATCATGCAGATGCAGATAAATCGATCAAAATATTAGCCTGTAAGAATAGAACTTATATTTAGTAAGAAATTGTAAGCTTAAATTTGACTGTAATCTTTGTTGTTAAAAAGTAATTTGTAAATGTTTATTAAATTAAATTTGCAGTAAAGATTTTGTTTGAGTAATGCATAAGCAAGTTTAATGTATATATTATGAGTTTTAGAAATATAATTTTTATGAATAAAAAAATAAAAAAATTAGAGAAAGTTTGAAAGAAAAAGAATATCAATGGATGGAGCAAGAACAAGGAATGGGTCCCAAAGTTCATGAAAAGTGGGTCCCATTCTCTCTCAAAGGCCATCCATTCTTCACTCTTGAGTGTTTATAAAAGCAGCTGCAAAGCACCACTCTTTTCCTCCAACACAGAACCTTCACATAAAGTAGCTTAATCCCCAAAAGGGTGAAAACAAAACAAAACAAAAATATATTTCTGTCTCTCGCTCTTTCAAGCTGAAACCTACCATTTTGTTTTTCTTCCTTTCACACTGTTTTCTCTTAAATCATTCTGCAAAAAGGAGGAGACTTGAGCACAGAACAAAAAGCATTCTTCTCTCCTTATTGCATTCCTCTCTCCACACGTTCAAGCATAGAATAAAGTGTTCAAGGGCCACTGCTTTACCAAGCTGAGGAGCAATACAACAAGGGTGTTTTTATTATTACTGTTTTTTCATTTTTTGTTGTCATGAGCTTCAACAAGCTCATAGTGTGGAATGTGCCACTACTCTTTGTGGTGGTGTTTGCATGTTCACTGATTGGTCATACTTCAGCTTCTGTGTCCTATGACCATAAAGCTATCACCATCAATGGACAAAGAAGGATACTGCTTTCTGGCTCTATTCACTACCCCAGAAGCACCCCTGAGGTACTTCACTCAATGTGTTTCAGGGTTCCTTCCATTTTAACTTTCTACCAAATGGGCACCTAAAGTTTCTTCCTTTTCAGATGTGGCCAGATCTTATTCAGAAGGCAAAGGAAGGAGGTTTGGATGTGATTGAAACTTATGTTTTCTGGAATGGACATGAACCTTCACCTGGCAAAGTAATGAATAGTGTTTGCTTGCAATGTTTTAAAAAATATGCATGCTTTCTTATTTTTTAATATGAGTTTTGCTGTTGGGAATAATCAATATTTTCTTTTTCTTTTGGTTACTGTAGTATTATTTTGGGGGAAACTATGATCTGGTGAGGTTCATAAAGCTTGTGCAGCAAGCAGGCCTCTATGTTAACCTCAGAATTGGTCCTTATGTTTGTGCTGAATGGAACTTCGGGTATTGAAAAAAGAGATAAATTTCCTATTTGCTCATTGTTTATATGCTAACAAGGAAATTTCTTACGAATTTAACCTTATTTATTTTTTAGAGGTTTCCCTGTTTGGCTCAAGTACATTCCAGGTATCAGCTTCAGAACAGACAATGAACCGTTTAAGGTGCGATGGCATTCATTCTGAAGTATCATATGACATTCTCCTTTGTTTCGTATATGTTATATTTTATATTCTTAACTTGTTTACTAATATCCTCTTTCTTTTCTAATGTTGCTGTGGTGAAGTTTCAAATGGAAAAATTTACCAAGAAGATTGTGGATATGATGAAAGCAGAAAGGTTATTCGAGTCTCAAGGTGGTCCGATAATTCTATCTCAGGTAGATTACACATGCGACTACCCTTCTGTTCAATCCAATCTTTTGTTCATTATTTCATATAGCACTTTTTTTTCAAAATAATTACAACCTTGTTACTCATTGAGTATGCCTGAGATAGATAATAAATATCCACCTTTTTTTGCCATTTCAAAATCTCTGCACAGATTGAAAATGAATATGGACCTATGGAGTATGAACTTGGTGCTCCTGGTAGAGCTTACACTCAATGGGCAGCACATATGGCTGTAGGCCTTGGCACTGGGGTTCCATGGATCATGTGCAAGCAAGATGATGCTCCTGATCCTATTGTAAGTTCAACTTCTTTGTACCTTTTACAGACATGTTCTTTAATCTTTATAGTTTGTTGTCTATGGTGGGGATACTAATATGGTTTGGAAGAAATGAATGATTATTCCTCGTTGGACATGGTTGAGATAATTCCTTGTTCAGCCCTTTCACAAAAATTCTCATTATCATGCCTGCGTGGCTATTGACCATTATAACCATGGTGAAGTTACCCTGATTACATGTGTTGGAAATTTAAAATCTGTCAGTTTTCATTAACAGTGATGGAGAGAGAAATATATTGTTTTATTTACTCAATAAATATTATTTTTGCATGAATGTAAATCCAAATTTTCCAGTCAGGTTGAAAACCAGCTCCTAATTCTCATATAAATTTGTTCAGATTAACACTTGCAACGGCTTCTATTGTGATTATTTCTCTCCAAATAAGGCTTCCAAACCAAAGATGTGGACAGAAGCTTGGACTGGCTGGTATGATAAATTTATAGCTTGTATTTTCTGCCTTGTTACTTTTTAGAGGTGCTCATGATCAGTGTTAATCTTTTAAACTTGCAGGTTTACTGAATTTGGCGGAGCAGTTCCTCACAGACCTGCTGAGGACTTGGCATTTTCAATTGCAAGGTTTATACAGAAAGGGGGATCATTTGTCAATTACTATATGGTACATTAAACATTTATTGATTTCGATGTATGGTTTTGATTCACCCTTTTATAGTCAATTTCACCCCGTTGCTTTGTTCATTCCAGTATCATGGGGGGACAAATTTTGGTCGAACTGCTGGTGGTCCCTTTATTGCCACGAGCTATGATTATGATGCGCCTCTTGATGAGTATGGTATGCACAAAAGGATAACAAAATTAGTTCTTATAGATTTTTTTTCCATGCATGATTTAAGCTATATATTTTTCATTCTCTATACAGGATTGCCCAGAGAACCAAAGTGGGGTCATCTGAAGGATTTACATAGAGCTATAAAACTCTGTGAACCTGCATTAGTATCTGGAGATCCTACTGTACAAAAACTTGGAAACTATGAGGAGGTATAACTTGATTCAGTTATCTGAATATTTTCAGTCCTGTCTAAAATCTTTGTAAATATACTAAACTTTTAACTTTCACAACCAATGTACAGGCTCATGTTTTTAGATCAAATTCTGGAGCTTGTGCTGCATTCCTTGCAAACTATAATCCACAATCCTATGCAACAGTGGCATTTGGAAATCAGCATTACAACTTGCCCCCTTGGTCTATAAGCATTCTTCCCAACTGCAAGCACACTGTTTATAACACTGCAAGGGTGAGACAAAATCAAACAAACTTTTATTTCAGATTACTAGAGATGTGATAGTTATATCTTACAGTGGATATTTCAGATGCACTATTTGGTTGGATGAGTAATTTTACTTAATAATTAATTATACACAATTTTGGTTCTTGTGACTTTTCTGTTTTGTGAAATTAGGCATACAAAGGGGGAAATTGATATTTTGTGAGTCTTATTTACCTTCCCTTGCTCTTGTTTGGAACAAGTTCCATTTCCTATGTAAAGAACAGTATTCTTTTCAATAACTCATCAACAGATTATTTCAGCAATGATGATAATTCCAAATATCTTCACAGGTTGGTTCTCAGAGCACAACAATGAAAATGAGTCGTGTTCCTATTCATGGAGGACTATCTTGGAAAGCGTTTAATGAAGAAACAACCACTACTGGTGATAGTTCCTTCACTGTGACTGGCCTATTGGAGCAGATAAATGCAACCAGAGATTTGTCTGATTACTTGTGGTACTCCACAGAGTGAGTGTGACCTATAACCCTGCAATCTTCCTACTCCTTATTTCTCTTGACCATTATGGTTATAACAATATTGATATATTTTCCTGTTTTTGTTTCTAGACCATGAATACTTATATTGTTACTTTTCTTGGCAGTGTTGTGATCGATCCCAATGAAGGATTTTTGAGGAACGGAAAGAATCCTTTTCTTACAGTTTTTTCTGCTGGGCATGCTTTGCATGTTTTTATCAACAATCAGCTGGCAGGTTAGTAGTATCCTTCTGGTTTACACAGTTTCAGCAACACTAATTATTTCAACTGCAAAGAACCATTTTCTTCTTGAATACTACAAATATTCAATTTCTATAAATATGTTTTTTTCTTAGTGTGATCCAAGAGAAAGAAGGGAGAATCTTATAAGTTTAAGTAGTGTGTACTTTTGAGAATGGGTGGAAATACATAAGGACATGATCAAGTGCTTGTCCAATACTTGGTGGAAATTGCCATAAATCATGTTGCCATTCTTATTTTAAATTTCTTTTTAAAACTGCCCAAACACTGAAGTACCATCCAGAAATAGGTTGAGTTTTCATTAAGAAAGGTGAGAAAAACAGAAAGAAAAGGAAAAATTATGTTTTAGTGTAGGTTTCATTGAATTAATGCTTTGGTTCACTATTTTATTTTGCTTCATCTTTGATACACTGAACCTACTATTTATCTTGTTGTGGTCAGGAACTGCATACGGAAGCTTAGAGGCCCCCAAACTAACCTTTAGTGAAAGTGTGAAGCTCAGAGCTGGTGTTAACAAAATCTCCCTTCTAAGTGTTGCAGTTGGGCTTCCGGTTTGTTCTCTCTCTCTCTCTCTCTCTCTCTCTCTCTCTCCCTCTCTTTCTTGTGTGAACATTGCATGTACACACCTGCATGTCTTAATGATAGTGTCTGATCAGATACCTCTGTACTTCATACAAATTTGATTGTTTAGAATGTTGAACTCTGATTATGAACATGACTATATTTATTCATCCGCTACCTATTATTGGCATGCAGAATGTTGGTCCACATTTTGAAAGATGGAATGCTGGTGTGCTCGGCCCAATTTCATTGAGTGGTCTCAATGAGGGGAGGAGAGACTTAACTTGGCAAAAGTGGTCATACAAGGTTCTTTTCAAACGTTCTCTTTTCTTGCTAATTATTGACTCAGTTTGCTTGAGATTCATTTGAATGCTTGTTCTAGGTTGGTCTTAAAGGTGAAGCCTTGAATCTACATTCTCTTAGTGGAAGTTCCTCTGTTGAGTGGCTTCAGGGGTATTTAGTTTCTAGAAGACAGCCATTGACATGGTACAAAGTGAGTATTGAGATACCTCTATGCACCCTGCTAGCTAATAAACGTTTTCTTCTTTTCATTGATTCTGGGGTCAGCCACAGACTTCATGAAACTTATCGTTATTATTTAACAAAAATAAAGTAGAAGAATTTTTATTTTTTTTATGTGATTGTAATGGGAAGTTGTTAAAATATACAGCTAAGTTGATGTAAATGCAAGAAAAGGGACCCTTTTTAATGTCCTTTGTATACTTTTACAGACTACCTTTGATGCCCCATCTGGAGTTGCACCATTGGCTTTAGACATGGCCAGCATGGGTAAAGGTCAAGTGTGGATAAATGGACAAAGTCTGGGTCGCTACTGGCCTGCTTACAAAGCATCTGGTTCTTGTGGTTACTGTAACTATGTAGGAACTTACAATGAGAAAAAATGTGCAAGTAACTGTGGCGAGGCTTCACAACGATGGTGAGAAATGTTTAGCTTGTTCTTGAATTTTGTTCAATGTTGGTTTGAAACTATTGTCATAATAATAATTGCTGGCTGATAATTTCAGGTATCATGTTCCTCATTCTTGGCTGAAGCCAACAGGAAATTTATTGGTTGTGTTTGAGGAATTGGGTGGGGATCCGAACGGAATCTTTTTGGTTAGAAGGGATATTGACAGTGTATGTGCTGATATCTATGAGTGGCAGCCAAATCTAGTAAGTTATGAGATGCAAGCTTCTGGCAAAGTCAGAAGTCCTGTGAGACCAAAAGCTCATTTGTCATGTGGTCCTGGACAAAAAATTTCATCAATCAAGTTTGCCAGCTTTGGCACTCCGGTAGGATCTTGTGGAAGCTACCGTGAAGGGAGTTGTCATGCTCACAAGTCATATGATGCTTTCCAAAAGGTATTTTACATGTTCAATGTTTTTCTGGTATGGTTTCTTTATAAAAGCTTTAAAATATTTGAGGAACATCATTTTTGGTCCAAGTGTTGAGACTTCTAAGTTGAGTTCTGCAGGCCAAGTAATCCATTTCATGTTTATGGTACTGAACACCTTATTTTGTAATGACTACTGTTGCAGAATTGTGTTGGGCAAAGCTGGTGCACAGTGACAGTGTCTCCAGAAATTTTTGGAGGAGATCCATGTCCAAGTGTCATGAAGAAGCTCTCAGTGGAGGCCATTTGCACCTGATCATTTTCAACCTCTGAAAATAAGTGGAATAAAGGTTCCATATTGATTTATTGAAGCTAAGTTTACACGTGTAGATCACCACAGACATTAATTTGGCTTTACCAAGGTGAAGTTGCAGATGAACACAACACACCATGTGGTTGAAAGCCTCCTGGGATGATTGTGGATTTGTGTGTATATATTGGTGTTGTGCTTGTTATACAGAGTTGGAGGAAGGTGAAAAATTACCTGATGCACATCGAGACGACATCTACTGAGTCCATGTGCAAATTGGTTTTGTTTGTGTGGAAGTCTCTTGCTTCCTGGAATGTTATAATATGTTGTAGGAGAAAGCAATTTGGTGCTTTCTTATTAGAAAACTTCGTAATGTAATAAGATCAGGCATGTTAATTCAATCATGTTTTGCTTATACTTGTTCTTGTTTTGAGAAAGTGTTACAAACACATTTTTCTTCTTTAGTTGATGTATACTTAAAATTACAAAATGATGATGGGGAGGACTTCATTAAACAAGAGAGACTTGTACTATTTTGTGTTTCTTAATAAATGAGCAATAATAGTGTTTACAAGAATGTATTACTAGAAGATGTATTAGCATTTTTTTTTTCATTTTATGTATTTCATAACATGGTTTTCTCTTGATCTTATTGTTGAGTTCAAACATAAGACAATTGCTTATATAATGAAATCATCCGACTTAAACTTATTCTGTGGAAGAACAATATTTATAAATTTATGATATAAAAATCACCAAGGCAAAGTTTAAGCTAAGATGAAGTTAAAATTAGACATTCTCATATTTTTCACTTAGTCGATGTTATAAATTTATGGTTTTATGTTTCATAATTTTTTTTTATTAAACTCCTACACGACGAATGATAACTTTTATGTAATTACTTTTATATATTTTTCGAGGCATAGGGCATAACATGAGAAAAAAACATGGAAACCAAATCCTGCATTGAATTAAATAGTCTGCTTATGCCTTCACTACCAGTATTATTCATAAATCAATTTAAAAGTTGAAACCATAATTCAACCCGCATATGTCCTGAGAGGTCAAAATGTGAGAAAACGACCAAGAGTAAATTCTTTAAAAATTGCATATTTGTTTTGGCTGCACTTAACGGAGTAAAAATTGTTCCACTTTATTTTTATCAAATTTTAGAATATTATAATACCAAAAACACCTACATGCAATAATTGAATCAACATTTTAATAGGTCCAATTTCTTGCATCGTATAAAAATCTTCGACCACCCTATTTGTTCTAAAATGTAAAATTTGAAATCATTCCGAGTTAAAGAAAGAATGAATTTCTAGAATACAGAAAAATATCCCATTTTAATAATTCAATGTAATCTAATTGACCTAGCCATTTTGAGACTATTCGAAGAATTCAGTGACCTGACCCAGACCCGTGGATCAGATCAACTTCAACAGATGTAACGGTTTTACGAAAAGAGTGGTATACAAAAACTGGGGGGCAGGGGATTTTAAAGATATAATTGCTCTTATTATAATTATTTTTGCATGTGATAAATTTTGTAGATATTTTAATATATAATATATAGCTTATTTGTTTCACCAGTAACTTATCAATCCAATGCCCTGATATCTGATCACTTCGTTGTGTCATGTTGAAATATGCAGATATATATCATTACTTCAGAAACTACCACAATAATATTTGAAAACAGTGTAACAACTTAACAATCCATCTGCTACTCTAACAATAAACAAAAAGGGTTTTCAAGGGTGGAGTGGGGAGAAAAGGTAACTTCCCGGCAGTATTTGCTTCGTTTTCTCTCATTGTTAAAGCTTCTCAGGTTCCAGGTTCCCGTCTAAATCGTCAACTATACGATGCCTGAAATCAGTCAATCTTCACCGAAGAGTAAATCTTGCGAACAAACCAGAAGCAAGCATAGAAGCCAATAGTTCCCGTCAACACAAAGAAGGCATATGAAACGATTATCATATATCCAAAGTAAAGGATGCCCGAGACCAGCTTTGAAATCTCCAACTTGGTAAAGAAGTAGAAAATTGAGTACAAGAAAAGGTACAAAGCAGAGGACCCAGCAGTGAGGTAAGATCTCCACCACCAATAGTAATCCTCACTGCACAATTGGAAGTAGCAAAGCACAATGGTAATCTCGGCACAGGTGATTAATAGGATCACAAACACTATAAACAGGAAGCCAAAGATGTAATAGAACTGGTTCAGCCATATTGATGTCAAGATAAAGAAGAGCTCGATAAACACTGCACCAAATGGGAGAATGCCTCCAATAAGAATTGAGAAGACAGGTTTCATATACCATGCCTGCTCAGGTACCTGCCTAGGAATTTTATTAGTCTTCACTGGGTCTTCAATTACTGGTTTTTTAAAACCCAAGTAACTGCCCACAAAGACCAAGGGAACTGATATACCAAACCATAAGCAGACTAGAGCAAACATGGTTCCAAAAGGGACTGCTCCGGAGGACTGCTCCCCCCAGATTAAAGCATTAAGCACAAAGAAGACAGCAAAAAGAATGCCTGGAAACATAAATGCAGTTTTCAAGGTATTCCTTTTCCATTCAGTGCCCTTGAACATCTTGTACAAACGTGCCGAGGAATAGCCAGCAAATAAGCCCATAAAAACCCACAACAGAACCATGGCAGTCATGAGACCTCCCCGATTAGATGGAGACAAAAACCCAAGCAAAGCAAATATCATTGTCACAACTGTCATTGCAAAGATCTGAACACCAGTACCAACATAAACACAAAGCAAATTTGAATTGACTGGTGGCCTGAAAACATCTCCATGAACAAGTTTCCACCCTGTTTCTTCTTGGGCCTCATCTTGGGTTTCTAGCTGATTATAATTGGCAATATCTCTGTAAAGAGTTCTCATCATGATCATTGCTACCATTCCAGACAAGAAAAGAACAATCATCAGAGAGTTAATGATGGAGAACCAGTGGATCTGGTCGTCATTCATTAAAAGATATGTGTCCCACCGAGATGCCCATTTGATATCACTTTCCTGAAAAAATACGAATAAACTTGGCTTAGCATATCGTACAATGGATGAAATGAAGTAGCCAAGATTTTAATTGGTAATACCATGAAGGAAACATCATATGTGAATACGATGTCCTTGTTTGTATCAACTTCTTGTGGGACTGTGCTACCTTGCATCAAATTTTTGGTATCTTTATTGCATGTTGTTACCTGTGGGTTCTTGTCATTCCACTCCTTGTATTCATGATTTATACTGTTTGAAGTTACAGAGGTCATATAAGAAAGGCACAAGACATATTAAGCAGTCATTTGAAATCAAACACGCAAGTGCTTTATTATAGAGAAATAGATTCAACAGATAAAGGAATGCATAAAGTAATGACACTTACCACGAAAGAAGAAAGGATCATCTAAGAACCCATTTATAAGATGCTAATGCCAAAATATTATTTATCTTCAAACAAATGTGACATCATGAAGAAGTTAAGATCTGTTAGATACAATTCCAACTAATCTGTTTCATTATTCTTATTAACAGCATCCTTTCCCAGATATAAATTAGAAAAAAAATATAAAACACAATCAAATATTAAATTATAAACCCAAAACAAGTTCAACCATGTTACGCCAACATAAGAATGTAACACTCCCTTAACAATGAGAGGCAAATAAAAGGACAATACCTGTTTGGGGTGACCTCAAATCCAACAATACGAGCAGAACCAGTTTCTGGATCCTTGTGATACATGACTCTAAAACTCAAGTGGTTGTTGATAAAATATTTCTTCTCCTTGCTCTGTAGGAAAATGGTAAATTTGTTACAATATGGCGTGACAAAAATGATGCTTGAAATTAAATTATATAACAAAGTTCAAGCTGAGTTATACCCCTTGATAGTTTCCTTTGAACCCAACACGAAAACCATGTTCATAAGTTGTTGATTGGCTTCCATCCCGCCTTTGTCTACGAACAGCAACTGGAAGGTTATCCAAAATCCTACACATTCAATTCAGAACTTCAAGGGTCAAGAAAATTCAAAGCAGAAACCTATAGACAAGCGTCAGACAGGCCAATGAATCTTAGGCAACTAATTAACTAAGGACTAGCTCCAATACATTTACCACTTACATGTTCACTCGATATTCATCATCAATTTTTTCTTTAAAACTCTTCGCAGATTCAGCATCCAAAATTTGATGACAAACAACAGTACAAGACCGTTCCTTCCTCATGTGAAACTAGAAAAAGAAGACAACAAACCTTTTATGTTGACACAACTAAACAAGAAAACAATCGCCCCTGAATTACATCATCATCTTATCCAAATTTCAAAGGATGATACAACAGAAGCTCACCGTATATACTGAGTTCTCAATGCGATCACCTCTAAGAACCTCTCCCAAATTCTCTGCACTGTTCAATATCTTGGGGGGTTTGCAATAGTTCAAGAAGTAGTAGTCATATGGAAGTTGAGTCTTTGTGGATGATAGTTTGTTCACTTTGACAGGGAGGGGATCACCCTGGTCCCACACATGAAACAACAACTCAATATCCTCATTCTTCAATAAAAAAAAATTAGAAACCAAAAAAACACAAATCCAAATAAATTTTTCCCAATCTCAACCAAACTTCTGAACCAACAAATACAAATTCTCAAATGACACACTACATTTTCTTATCCGAAGACCAAATCGACTACGAGCCACGTTACACACACTTTCCACGTGCACCTCTAAAAATATAAATACGTTTCATCACTCGTCGCAAGTGAACCTCCTTGAAAGCAGCGTAAAGAGGAACTCAAACAGCGACGAAATACCTCAAAACCGAACACGAAGAGATTCCGTCTTCGGAAACGGCAAAACGATTATCATTCTCCAGAACTAAAGATTCCATTAAACAACATTCTAAATTAAGGTATTATATATAAAAAACATCAGAACCGCGGAATCGTCCAAAATTAATTCAGTTCTTTCACGAACACCAAATCGATTATCCTAAATACAGCACAAGGCGAAATTAAGACCAATTCGACACAGATCAGAGGCAAAACCCTAGATCCGAGCAGCGTGGCGCCGGATGAAAGGTGTTCGACAAATTAACGAAGCAAATCGCGCGGAAATTGAAAGAAACAAAAAGGAAGGAGCGGAGAGAGATAAGAAATGGAGAACGTACAATTTGGAAATCGCGAGGAGCGACGCCGGGAAGGTAGAAGGAGTGGACGGAGGAGAAGAGGAAGAGAGCGGCGAAGACGAGGGAGATGGCGGTGCTTGCCATCGTCTTCTTCTTCATTGCTTCCTTTGTTCGTTTCGATGTAGGAGAAAGATAGAAGGAGAAGAAAGAAAGCTGGAATGAAAGATGGATAAATAGATATATGAAAAATAGAACCAATGAAGTGCCACTGTTTCTGTTTCAGGATACTACTCACTAAGTCTGGTTGCCCACACACTGTAACAAACTACTTAATAACTAAAAGGAATTTTTCTTCAACATATTTATTCTTCATTTACTACGATGAGTTAGTTCCCATAAAATTTTAAAATTAATTTTTAAAATAACAGAAGGTTTTATAAATAAAATATAAATATTTCTAATTTAATAATAATATAATATTAGTAGTAGAGTATTTTAGTCTGAATATGAAATACAATTTTTTTTATACATTGGAAATATATAAAAATAGTTTAAAAAAATAAATATATAAAGTGAAGAAGATTAATGAAATCCATGTTCTTCCACTAATTAAGTAGTTAATATGTCTCTATCTCTTCTTTTTAAGTGTTTACTTTTCTTATTTGACCAAAGAAATGTGTTTTTCTTTTATATGTTGCACGTTAGAAATATATCAAAGTGAGTAAAAGAATGTGAAGAATGATGAGATGATATTTTCTCTTTTTTTTTTAATTAAGTAGTTAATCTCTCTCTATCACTCTTTTTCAAAATTTACAATGTTATGAATACCAAACCCTATATTTCATTTTCAATTAGCTTAAATACCAAAATCAATATGGACCACGCGTATTCATTTTAATATACATTTTAAAATGGTTTTCATAGTTTGTTTGTAACTCTTTATTTCGAGTGAAATGGTTAAGCTTATTACAAAGTATAAAAAACATTGGAAGACAGTAATTAATTAAACAATTTGCCCTAAATTATTATAGAAGAACAACTGAAATAAAGTTATTTTTTTCGGATTTAGTTAACAAAAATGCATAGTTGATTTTTTAATTTAAAATATATTTTGATAATTATCTCGTTAAAATAATTTTTCAAAATTAAAAACTAAAAATTAAGACTTAATTTTTAAAAATAAATTAAAAAATATTATTAAATCTTATAATCATTCAATCCATAAAATGATGGGTCTACTCTTATTATTACTTACTCAAGAAATTGACAATAAAAGAAAAATAACATTAGTTAAGACCTAATTAAGACACGAGATAAACTTATATTTCATGTGTGATCATAAATTTATCTCGTGTATAGATATTAATAAGTAATATTTGTTATTATAAATAGAAGCTTAGAATTCGATAAGATTATTAATTAATAAATCTTTTACTAAATTCAGATCTGTCTATTCAAAATATGATCTCTCTTATAATTATTTAAAATGAGTCCAAATTTTTATATTATGAAATTTCAAGGAAATATTAATGACCTCGTCATACAAACACTACTAATTTTCAAGTTTTAGTAGAAAATGAAAAATCCTTAATAGTAGAATGATATATAGTAAGGGATTTGGAGGTCAAGATTAAAGAACATTTTTTTTTTTACATTTCTATATTTGTGTTACGTACATATTACTTATTTGGTACATCTTGGTTGGTAATCCATGATCCTCATATTTTTTATTATAATAACCTAACTCTAAACTCTATATGCAAAAATCAATTTATCACCTTGGATGAAAAGAAACCTTCTGCGTTTAATCCTATTCAATCTAGTTATTTCAAAAAGTGCATTTACACACATGTCATTGCAAAGTTATTCACACTAAATTCCAATACCTTAATAGTTCGTTGAATAATTGGTTAAAATTACCTACAAATATGGAACATGAAATGATTATTCTTAAACACACTTATAAATAACAAACATAAGTGTTTGTTATACCTATTGAATTACCTCTTTAAAAGGACTTATTGGTTAGATAAAGTAACACCTTATAGATATTCTCATAACCTGAAACAATAAATTGATTCAATGGTTGATGCAGAAATGATATTATTGACCCTAGTACCAACCCTTCTCTTCTCTCATTATTTCAATTAAATATAAATATGACACATGGAGATTTTGTATAGACTATAGAACATTGAATACTATCATAGTTAAGCATAGTTTCTGCATTCCAACCATAGATGAACTCATTAATGAGTTGTATGGTACATAATTCTTTTTCAAACTCGATTTCAAATTTGGCTATCACTAAATCCTTGTTAATGAACATGATAGGTACACAACTATCTTCAGGACCCAGCAATGCTTGTATGAATGATTGGTTATGTTGTTTGACCTAACTAATGTAACTCCTACCTTCTAAAACTTGATGAATGATGTTTTTGCTAGTTATCTAAGAAGATTTGTCTTGGTTTTCTTTGATGACATCTTAGTTTTATCTCATTTGAAATTAGTTATGTAAGTTCTCTTAAAAAATAGTTTGTATGCCAAACTATTCAAATATTTAAAATGATTGAGATACATAGGACATAATATCTTAAGTAAAGAAGTGGTCATGGAGATTGGCAAAATTTAGACAATTTTGGATTGGTCTTGCTCAACAAACTTGAAGTAGTTAAGAATGTTTCTTAGACTCACGAAATACTAAAATAAATTAATTAGGAAGTATGTAATAATTGCAACACTCTTAACAAAATTGTTAAGAAAAAGAAAATTTTATTTATAATGATATTATTATTGAAGCATTTCAAAGACTTAAATTTGTCATTATTAAAGTTCCTGCTTTAATCTTACCAAATTTCTTTAATTATTTACCTTGCAAATTGATAAATTAGGAATACGAATAGGTGTAATGTTGACCAACAACATCACCATATAACTTTTGTAAGAATTTAACTCTAATGATGTAGAGACAATAAGGAATTTTGTGCCATAAATAATGCAATAACCAAGTTTAGGCACTATTTGTTAGGTCACAAGTTCATAATTAAAACTAATCAAAGAAGTTTGAAAAGTTTGACAAATCAAGTTATGGAAACTTCATAACAACAAAAATGAATTCATAAGCTTCTAGGCTATGATTTCACTATTGAGTACAGGTTCGTAAGGACAACATAGATGTAAATTTATTTTTCAAATCATTTCTCATGGCTTGATCATAATCTCAAAGACAAATTATACCTATACTTGCAAGGGGCATACAAAATGATGAGAAATCGAAATGTGTGATGGATGCATGTGCTAACAAGCCTTTTAATCCCCACTTTAACATCCATGGTGGATTGTTTTACAAGAAAATACAATTAATACTTGCTCCAAAACATGAACTCATATAACAGTTACTACAAGAGTTTCATAGTTCATTGCTTGGATTCATGTAGGTTACATTATAATAATGACCATAATTGAAAAATAATATTTTGGAATGATATATACTAGGATTTTAAAAAATTTGTACAAAATTATTCAATTTACCAAAAAACTAAAATAGGAACAACCATTCTTGCAGTTTAATTCGACTCTTATTCATTTATCACTAGATATGGAAGAATATAGTAATAGACTTCATTACAAGATTATCATTTCTAATGAATTTTCTGTATGCATATTTTGCTATTTTAATGTCAAACCATAGTAATAAACAAGTAGTTGAATTGTTTATGAAAAATGTGATTAAATATATGGTGTTATTAAGATAATTGTTTCTAATAGGAGTAAGGTGTTCATAAGTTACTTTTGACAATATTTTATTTAACCTCAATATATCCTCGAGGCTCTCAATAAATGCCTAAAGATTTACTTTAGATGCTTCACTTTTGAGTTATTATATGATTGTGTTTAATTGTTACTATGGACAAAATATTGATTCAACATTACTTATCATCATAGTAGTGACATGTCACCATTCAAAGTAGTGTATGATAAGACTTTCTTATGTATATTCTTGATATAAAGAACAATTAACGAAAACAGACTTTACCCAACAATAATGCTAAGACATAATAACATATGTAGAAAAATATTGTTTAAAAGAGGAGACATTATTGAGTTTTTTGAGGGGAGCTTTATCAAGGAGAAACAACACCAATGAAACATGAGTTCAATCACATAAGAGTACATTACCTTTAAGCTAAAACCTTAAGACATTGAGTTATGAGTCTTTATTTCTTATATGTTACTTAATTTTCTCATTCTTATTCAATATGAGAGTTAAACTCACTTGGATTTCCCAACATTCTCCCCCTCAAGTGTGAGTTTCTTCAAATTAGTACATCATTCTCGAGCTTACTAGTGGTCCTTTTTTGTATCGTTGTTCATCATAATGGGACACGCTTATCTGACTCACTGTCAAAAAGATTTTTGATACAAAAACTACTTTTAAACGGTCGGTCACCACACAAACCATGCTCTGATACCATTGTTCTGAATTGGTTAATCACCACATAAACCACCAGCTCTGATACCACTGTTGGGAAATACAAATATGAGTTTAAGTCTCACATTGAGTAAGAATGAGAAAATTGAATAATATATAAAGAAGAAAAACCTATAACTTAATGCCTTAAGATTTTGAGTTAAAGATAGTGTCAATATCTTATGTGGATTGAACTCATGTTTCATTAGTATTGTTTCTTCCGATGAATCATTCTTGAAAAACGCAAAAAAAAAACTTCATCTTTGTAGATAGTTTTTAGTGACTCTTAAAAAAAATATATTTTAAAATAAATATGCAATTTTTTTGTACTTTTTTTAGGATGGGAAAATTTGACCAAGTTACAATAATTTCACTCATCTTACAATATATGTCATGTAAAGGTGATAATATTTAGATTTGTATTCTTTTGTTTATTACCAATTTTAAGTTATCAATGATGATCTAATATTGTTATAAAATAAGAATTATTATAATAATTTAAAATACGTTAAACAACTAATGAAAAGATTAATTTTAAATTATATAATGTAGGAAGATCTTAAAACATTGATAAAAGTTTTCTTAAATATTAGAATAATGTTAATTTAAATAAGGAGAAATTGTAAGAAGTGTGAAGAGACAAGAGAGGGGTGAAATTTATAAGGGATATGTCACATATGATCCAAATGATGTGAGTATAAAGCAAAAAATATTATGACCCAAAATAACCAATTGATTGCTTAAGGATTTTGATTGTTTCTTAACTTAACTTTATAGATGGTTTTAGATGGGAAATGAAGTATGAATTAAGGATTTTGATTTCTTCTTAACTTAACTTTATATACTAAATTTTATTTGAAACCCCTATTTTTATTTGTCCACCCCATTGAGCTTCCTTATTTTTCATTGGTTTTTCTTCGAGCAATTTACTGCCAATTCTTTGAGTAGTTACTTCTATTTTGGACAATGAAACCTCCATAACAAAAGCATAAAATAAAAGAAAAGAAAAAAGAAACTTAACTGAAAGAGCATTGTCTAACGATGAAGAACAAAGAAAGAGTGGGTTGGTAACTAAGACAAAGAAGATTTGCAAAAACCACACAACTAACGAAAAAACAAAAAAGAAAAGTTAGACATAAATTTGTAGGATTGAGGAAATGGAACAAAGAGGTGTCTTGAAAGGATAGAAGCACATAAAAACACACATAAATTTCCAGCATTTGCTGCGTTTAAAAGCTTGACATTCATGGTTATGTTTCCCCATCCCTTCTGTCACCTACTGTCTCATTTCCAATGCTGCATCTTCACATGTTCTTCTTCCCTATTCTGCCCTCCACATCACCCCCACCAAGGAATAATGGAGTTGGGTCACATGCACAATTTCTTTATTACACAGATTTTTAAGTCCTAGTTTTAGTTGTTAGCTCTTATAGTTTATTAATGTTGATGACTTTGCAAGCAATGTTTATAATCGCAGTTAATGGGTTACATAATAATAAGAATAATACTGGGTGACACCACTAGTGTTGAAAAAAAAAATCATCTAAGAAGATGTGTATTGTAAGTGATAAATAGTTAAAGATCGACTTTGAAATCGTAAGAGTCACGATTTTAAAAATAATGTTTGTTTTCCATTAAACTCCAATGGATTATGATAAACAGTAACTGATCTATTTTGAAAAGTTCAAGGAGTTATGAATTACTAAAATTTGGTAATTTATATATATATATATATATATATATATATATGATTTTTTTTTAATTTAATGATTATTAATTTTTTTACTTTTTTTTATATTTATTTATTATGTATAATAATATATTATTTAATACTTAAAATCATTGATGATGAATGATAAGTCTATCTTATTTCAAACATTTCACTTCATAATTTTAATCAACAACGTTCATCTGTGTTGAAGAGGGAGTTTAAAATTGAATTAATTTAAAATAAAATTGAATTTTTATGGAAAATAAAAATTGATTAAAATTAAATTTTTTTAATTTTTTTAAACTAAATAATTTATTTCGATTTTTGATTTGTTAATAATTAATTAAATCAAGAATCAAAAGTATAATATATATTATTAATATTAAAACATAAAGTAATATTTATTATAAATAAATTATTAATTATTAATTTAATATATATTATTGTTATTATTCAAAGTAAATATAGAAATGTATTAAAATAAATAAAAATTATGAATATTATAATTAATTATGTATTATATTTTTATAATATTTTTTGTTTAATAATTATTTTATTATAATATATTTAATAAGTTTATAATAAAAATTATAAAATTAATTTAAGTATAAATATTAATTTAATTTGATTAAATTTTTAAAAAAATTAAAAGTAAAATCAAACTAAATCTAAATTTTGTATTTAATTTGAGAAATTTTTTAATATAAAATTAAATCAAACTCCATCGTAAACACTCTTGTGAGACCACGTAGATATAAATATTACTTTTTTGTAATTTTTTTATTTGAAAGTATTGGACTAATATTTATCAATATTTAACATTTTTAAATATTTTTCAATATTTAACATTTTTTTTCATTCTTCAATATTTTACATTCAACAACTGTATACTTGTATTTTTTGTAATTAATTAACTTTTGAGAACTTTATTTTAGAAGAAAAGATGGGGTTGAGTTTGGTGTTTTAGAAATAATATGAGAAGAAAAATGTTATTTCTTTAACTGATAAAATAAATTTGATTAACAATGCGAGTAAAAACATAATTCGTGGGTCGTTTATACTTGTGAATGATTTTAGACAATTAAACATATTAGTTATTGATATTTTTGACACGGTTGGTTAAAAAAACGATTAGTAATTTCAATTAATTAGTAAATCAAATTAATTAGTAAATCAGAAGATTAACAGAAAATTTAATCTTTTTAACTAACAAAAACTAGGCACAAACTTTTAAAACACATGAGATTAGTAAATTATGAAAGGAAGACTTTTTTTTCCTTTTTTTAATGATTGGGTTAAATAAATAAAAATGGTTTCTTTAACATTGAAAAGTATTTTGATTTTTGAATATTAAAATGAATGGAAGGAATGTAGGTTTTGAACAGTGAACAAGCAAGCAGAGAAAGTGGGACCCACAAAGAGATGAGGTGCAAATGCTGCAAAGTAAGATTGCGCGTGGGAACAACGCATGTGATTAGAAAGATAAATGATGAGGAGTGAGATACACGCGCTCTAAAAGTTACATTTCCACGTTTGCCGAAAGCTATGACATTGGGTCCCATCCTTCCACCGCCCTTTTCCTCAGTTTAGAGACCATCTTTCAATTAATTGTTTTGGATTTTATTATTTAATTTTATAGTCAATAATAAAAATGACATGTTTTTATATAACTTTTTAATTCTATTTTCAGTAATATATATTTTTCTTAAATTCATACTTATTGTGTTTAAGAAAATAAAGTATCTTATTATATATATATATATAAAATATTTTATAGGATTAATTTTAAGTATGAGAATAAGGGTATATATAAGTGAAATTAGATTTTATTTTCAATTTTATAGTAATATTGTGGTTTTAAAATTCTTGATTTTATTTTTAATAAGAAGGAAAATGTATAAGTCTACTGGAATAATAATTTATTGATAATTATTTAAATTTAAATTTTTCGTGTAAAAGTTTATATTTTTAACTTTTCTTGTGATTTAAATTTTTCTGTTTTACAAAATTTATACTTTTGATCAATTTTTGTATGTTAAGATGCTTGAAGTTTATAGTTAAATTGAATTAGAGAAAGTAAAACTAAAGATTATACTATAATTATAGTTTTTTTTTACCTAAAATTAGGAAACAAATTAGCAAAAAAAATCGTATATTATTAAATCAGAAATAAGAAAAATACAATTTAGCCCTGTTTTAGTTTATAGGAAATTATGCTGTAAATAATTTTAAAATAGTTACTATAAAGTAAAATTAAAAAGTACTCTAAATTTATGTCATTTCTAATGAATTGTTTTATTCTATTTTACAGTAAAAATATAAATAATAAAGCATAATTATTTTAACAAATTTAACCATGATAAATGATTTTTTTGAAACTTTTCTTTAAAAGAACTGAGAATTTTTTTTGTAAAATCTATGATATCTTGATAAAACTATATTAATATATGACTTAATAATAAAAATATTAAAAAAACTAAGAAAAATATTCCAAAAATAGATTGTGCCACAAACAAAACACGTCGATTGGTCAGATACTGTCACGATTCACGAACTCGAGGGTTTTGGAAAATTTCTCATTTTCATTAATTCTAATCTATTTTTTAGGTTAACTTAGCCGATACATTTTTTAGATTAATTAAAATACGAATGCAATTGTTCAAAGAAATTTTCAAAAGCAAAACTTTCATGTTTCAACACAAGTTTAAGAAAAACGAAAGAAATTTCAATTTGATCCTTTTATTTTTTATTGATAATCAGAAACAAAATAATAATAAAAATAAAAAGAAAAAGAAAAAAGAAAAACTTTTTTTCCCCTAATTTTCAATGCCGAGTGTGTGCCGACCCATGAGAAAAAAAGTAAAAAAGGAAAATTGGAATCATGTATATGTGTAGTTATGGCGATGGCATGGCAATGGTAACGCCTCTGCGAGAGAGAGTCTGAGATCGCTCCCTTCCTTTTCTCTCTTTCGATCTTCCTTACCGCATTTCTCAACCATCGTTTCCAATCCCGCGCTAATGGGTAAGCTTTTTCCACTCTCTTCATCGTCGATCTGATTTCTGCATTTTTTTTCCCGTCTTATTCTGATCACAGCTTTATTTTTCCCCTTTTGGTTTCTATCTGCTTTCCCAATTCTAACTTACATCAAATTTTCAATCTTTTATGGATGATGGTTGGTGGATGTTACGGAAAACCTGTAGTTACACTTGCATGCGTTTTGTTTTTACCTTTTTTTTTTCAACTGTTGTTTCATTTAATTTTTCAGTTTCAAGTGAATATCTGTAGCATTTATGGGAATTTGTGGGTGTCATTGATTTTGACATTTGATCCTTAATTTTGTTTTGTGTGGCTAATTGGTTGGATCCGGGACAAGGTTTAGATTGTTGTTATAGGGGAGAAGAAAAGTTGAGGAGGGTGTGCCTATTAGAAAGCTGGTTAGTTTAATTTTATGGTTTGGAGATTAGTATTCCTGCTCAATTTTTTCAGTGCTAGTGGGAGTATTGGGTTTGAATTGCAAAACAAGTGTACGTATTTCTTTGCTTTTGGTACTGGGAATGATAAGCAATGTTCTTACCAGGGCTGGATGATCAAGTTGAATTTCCTTTTTTTTTTCCTGATTTAATGGGTTTCTAGCTATTTATATGTCAAATAGGAACGCTGCAATTACACCTAAGATTTTGGTTATGCATGTGGATCTCGATTAGTGTTATACTTGAAATTTGTGCTAGTATTTTGCAGCAATTTCCCCCCACTAACATGGATTATCTTATCCAGCAAATAGTGAGGCTTGTTGTTCAACTCAAATTATTGATGGAGATGGTACATTCAATATTTCTGGGGTTGAAAACTTTATGAAGGAGGTGAAGTTGGCTGAATGTGGGCTTTCGTACGCTGTAGTTTCTATAATGGGTCCACAAAGTAGTGGTATGCTTTCTTGCTTCTATAGCCCTATTGTTTTTCCTTCCCTTCTCAAGATAATTGGATTTTATGATTTCTTTGCTGTAACCTATGAATGCACCTGAGGATCTTAAAATCTGTAGGTAATTAAGATATTTTACTTGACAATGACTGGTGGAGGTGATTGTTATTAAAGATCCGTGGAAAGGTTAAATCGAAGTTCAATAATAATAGCCCCTTTCTGGTTGAGTTTGATGTAAATTTATAATCTTTAAGTTACATGAGTGGCTTATATTTATGACTTCATTATCCATATGAAATAGTGATTCCTGATAGATTAGGTTTAGTCTCTCAGGCCTTTTAATTTTTATGAGAATTTTAACCTTTTTAAATTTATTCTCCTCTTTAGTTTTACTTCATTCTTTTCCATTTGTTTAAGTTTATTAGCAAGCATAAAATGATCTTAATATTATCTAGTTCTTCGTATTTTTTGCTCTGGGCAGGCAAAAGCACACTATTAAATAAATTGTTTGGTACCAACTTTAGAGAGATGGATGCTTTCAAGGGAAGGTATGTTGTCGCAATTCTGACATTTCACACAAACCCTTCTCAACTAACAGGGTGCTGACCTGATGGATCTGCTTGTTTTCAGGTCTCAAACAACCAAAGGAATCTGGATGGCTAATTGTACCGGCATAGAGCCTTGTACACTTGTGATGGATTTGGAGGGTACTGATGGAAGAGAACGCGGAGAGGTGTTGTTTTTTTGTTATATACTAACTTACTTTGCTGATAGTGATCAAAATTCAGTCTTCCATTTTCCATTTCCATTTATATTTTTTAATTGGGAATAAAATATTCCAGCGTGTTTCTAGTCCCTTGTAGAACATTTGATGTAAATTATAATTTTTTTTTGGAGTTCATAAATTTCTATTGTTCAAGATTTATATGTAACACATTCCTTTTCCTTTTTGCTACACATGCAAAATAACATTGTTTTCTTTATTAAATTTTTTTATGGAAAATGATAAATGGGAGGTCCAGTTATCTTGTCAGTTTCTTCCCCTCTCTAGCCTCTTGATCACTTTGAATTTTATTTGTTATTAAATTGTAAGAAAGAGTTCCATAGCATTTCTTAATCTGTGTTAGTATTGTTATGGATTAGAAATAGTTTAGTTTTGCAATGAATTCTCCTTGTATACTGAAATTATCTTTTTCTCAGGATGACACTGCTTTTGAAAAGCAGAGTGCTCTATTTGCTCTTGCTGTATCAGATATAGTGTTAATAAATATGTAAGTTTTTTTTCTCCTTTTTAGTTTTCACCCTTTTAAGTATCTTCTTGTATATCTTGTTTTAATATTTTTCCATTTGAATCTTCACTCTTTGTGCAACTAATTCCCCTCCTCCTCTGCAATTCTTATGAAGGTGGTGCCATGACATTGGCCGTGAGCAAGCTGCAAATAAGCCACTTTTGAAAACTGTCTTTCAGGTGTGTTGTTGGCCTATTGACTTCAAGGAACTTGTCAATTCTCGTTTATCATTTATCTTACTGCTTGCACAAATTTGCTTTCAGGTCATGATGAGATTGTTTAGTCCACGAAAAACAACATTGTTGTTTGTCATACGGGATAAAACAAGGGTTTGTAAAAGCTGTTTATTAATCTTTTGTAATTGTGTGTTTGTTATATATATTTTAATTATTATTTCTAAATATTTTTATTTGTTGGTGTGGTTAACCTTTCTCTTTTATAGACACCACTTGAAAATTTAGAACCTGTTTTGCGAGAAGATATTCAGAAGGTAATATAGCTCTTTCATCTCCATATATTGTTATGGAATTGTTATAGAATTTTTACTTGCATTTCTTGCTTTACTTTTCCCCCCCACAGATATGGGATTCTGTTCCTAAACCACAGGCCCACAAAGAAACCCCATTAAGTGAATTTTTCAACGTAAGTTCTTCTTCATCCCTTTGATATTGCTAGTCTTACTGATGTTCTTGTGCAGCAGGATTTTATTTGAAGTTTATATTAATTGTTTACACTTGGCAACAAATGACCAGGTTGAAGTTGTTGCTCTTTCTAGTTATGAAGAAAAGGAAGAGCAATTTAAAGAACAGGTATGAATTCTGCACCAGTTTCCTTCTGGTTTAATTGCACTTTATGACTTATTATAAGGATGTTGTGGTTGTTTGTATCTCCATATCTGCATCAGTGACTATGTGCCCTTGCATCTTGATCCATTTTGCATAAATTATTGTATTTATTTGGCTTTCATAGTGGGAAAAGACCCTTTTTTGGGTATATTGAACATCTATTTGTCTAATTTGCCTTAATATTTTGTTCTGGTTTATTTTGAATGTAGGTTGCCAACTTGCGGCAACGATTCCAGCAGTCTATTGCTCCTGGTGGGCTTGCAGGGGATCGGCGTGGAGCAGTTCCTGCTTCTGGCTTTTCTTTTAGTTCTCAGCATATATGGAAAGTTATTAAGGAGAACAAAGATCTCGACCTTCCTGCACATAAGGTAATATACATGCTATGATGAAGCTGTGTATGTGTTCATGTGTATTGATTTAGGTTAAATTAACAATTTGTTCCCCACACCTAACACTAGTTTTCAGTTTAGTTCGGACATGAAAAACTCTTAATTTTGACCTATACATGATTTTATCAATTAGTCCCCATTGTTTGTTGACATTATATGGTGTTAGATTGTATTTCCTTTAAGACCAAAATGTAGACCAAACAAAATATAAATATGTTTCATATAGGGACTAAAGTGAAAAGATTTATCAAATATAGGAACTAATTCTAATACTGTTGTAATGTTGATAAGCGATGGCAAGGACCATTCTGTAAACGTTTTTTTCATGTAGGGACCAAAATGTATATATTTTTATGTAGATTCTAAAATAGAACAATGTCAGGTGTAGTTTTGGAACTACATTTTAACTTGACCTTGATTTTACTAACAATTTAAGGATCAACTTACTTTTAGGTTATGGTTGCTACTGTTCGCTGTGAAGAAATCTCCAATGAGAAATATGCCTCTTTTGTTGCAAATGAGGTATTTAAATTAGTTTGGTACAACCCTCCAACATATTTTGACACTCTTAATTACTAATGTTGTGGAAATTGCGTTCAATTACTACTCAGGATTGGTGTCAATTGGAAGAGGCTGTGCAATCTGGCCCAGTACCTGGATTTGGGAAAAAGCTCAGCTCACTCCTTGGTACATGTTTATCAGAGTGAGTATAGGTCAATTTATAAGATATCTGTATTTATGGTGGCTTAGTTATAGAATACCACATTATCTTACACGATATTTAAGCTTTTTGTTTAACTCTGTTATCTTTTTACAACATTTACTGTCAGTTCTGTTGAGTAGAGCAGCAGGATTTCGTCACCCCTATGCCCTTTTGTTAAATATTTTTTTCATCTTTTAATGTGAGTTTACCTGACTAAGTGGCATGATTCCACGAGTGAAGCTTTAGGTTTAGAGAAATTTATGCTAAAATCATGATATATAGGGTTTTACACAGAATCTGATGTCTGAATCTGCTACAAATATCAGAGAAGCAAATTTCCTTCAAATTAGGGGAGAAATGAAGAAATAAAACCATTATACTATAGAACTTTCTAAAATATCTGAATTGATTTGATTCAGGTTTATTCTTCCTTAACTAGCTTCTAAGAATCTAGACAGTTTCCTCAACAAGATTCATTTCAACAGAAGTGAATGGATGATTTTGATTGTTCAAGCAGGTAGAAGAAAGATTGACAGCCATTATTGGATAGAACTTTTATGGAATGCCATATTTAGTTTTTGTACTTTATTTTCTACTTTAGTATTTGAATTTGGTAGTTAAATGTTACACAGTAATACCAAATAATGCTTTCTGGTTGCTCTTCCAATACCACCTAATTATTTTATATATGGTTTTATTTTTGAGATGTTATGTGCAATTTTGAATTTAACTCAAGGCTGAAATTGAATTTTACAATTTTTTTAACATTAAATGTTGTTGGCTGTTGCATCATGTAAAACGAGTTAATATGGAGTGAGAGTATATTGAGCTATTGCATTTTCTTTTAATATAGGTATGATGCTGAAGCCACTTATTTTGATGAAGGCGTGCGAACTTCCAAACAAAAGCAACTACAAGAAAAATTGTTCCAAGTAATCCTTTTCAACTGGCCTCGACCTCCCCCTCACCCCCCAATGAACACAACTGAATTTGATAAATGCTGAAAGAAAAACAAATAATTGGTGATTAATAATGACTATTTTAGATACTGGTTATTAGCCTTTACTTGTTTCTTTTCAGTAGCTATTATATTGTGTGGTTTATACTGGTGCTTAACAACTTTCAATTGGTTAGCTTGTCCAACCAGCATTCCAATCTGCGTTAGGACATATAAGATCTGGAACATTGGATAAATTCAAGGAGTCATTTGACAAGGCTTTGAATGGAGGGGAAGGGTTTTCTGTGGCTGCTAATAATTGCAAGGGGTCTTGTATAGTTCAATTCGATGAAGCATGTGCAGGTAATAAAACATTCTTTATTCTGTTCATTTGTGAACAATTAGTTGAAGTTGAGACTTGCATTTAATGAACATATGGAAAGGAAAAACATGAATAAGATAAATATGAAGTGGATTGTGTGTGATGGTTAGTTTAAGGTCGAGTGCAGAGTTGCTAGGCTTTGGTTCATTACAATGTCTATGGTCCAAGAAGTCGAACTTGATAAATATTTGTTTTGAGCAGGCATCTTACTCTAAACTGAATTGCTAAACGAAACTGATTTTTTGTCATTGCAGATGTTGTTGTTGAACAAACAAATTGGGATACATCTAAAGTGCGAGAAAAACTGCTGCGGGATATTGATGCACATATTGCAAATGTGCGAGCAACCAAAATTTCTGAACTTACATCATCATATGAGGTACGTCTGATCATTAATGTCTTATGAATCTCTAATTAATTATTGTCAAGCACAGTAATGATGCAAAGATTTCAGGTTGTATATACTGTATAGTAAATAGTTGTGCCAAAAGTCAATTTAGGCAAGTAGTTTTTGAAATTTTGTTACGTTGTTCCAGTTGGTTTACTTCTAATTTGAAGGACTAACTTCTTGTAAAGATATTTGATAGTGGTACTATTGCAGGAAAAACTTAAACAAGCGTTGTCTGGACCTGTTGAAGCACTTTTGGACGGAGCTAATAGTGATACTTGGTCATCGATAAGGAACCTTCTTAAGCGTGAGACTTTATCCGCCATTTCAGGTTTCTCTGCTGCACTTATTGGGTTTGATATGGATGATGAAACAAGACAGAAAATGCTTTCAAGTTTAGAGGATTATGCAAGGGGTCTGGTAGAAGGAAAGGCTAGGGAAGAAGCGGGAAGAGTTCTAATGCGCATGAAGGAGAGGTAAGAATCCTCTGCAATTTCTAACTTGACTTTATACCTTTTCCTTTAAGTTTTACTTTGATCCAATTAACTTAAATCTGGAAGCAGGTTTACAATGTTGTTTAGTCATGATTCTGATTCAATGCCTCGTGTTTGGACGGGCAAAGAAGATATACGAGCCATCACCAAGACTGCTCGCTCTTCTGTACGACTTGATTATGAATATTATTTTGTTGTTGATTTTGTATTGCATTTTTTTTTATCTTTTTAACCATGTTTAATGCTTGTCAGTCTTTGAAGTTGCTATCTGTCATGGCTGCAATCCGTTTGGATGATGCTGACTCTGACAATATTGAGAAAGTGTTAGCAGTTGCTTTGGTGGAACCATCACCAAGTAGTAATGGTACAAGGAGCATGACAGTGGTTGATCCACTAGCTTCTAGCAGCTGGGAACAGGTGAATTTTAATTGTTTCTAGTTCTATGTGATGAAGTATTGACTTGTGTACCCATTTTGGTAGATGAATGGTTTTATTTCCATCAGTTAATGATCTGATTGCTCTAAACAGAATATAAATATTTCCTTGCTGTGATGATTTGGGAATTGTTCGACATATAATTTAGGCTGCAAATGCTACATTTAGTTTCTCTGATAACATTTTGAGACCATTTTCTATCTTGGGCACTGATCAGTTGTGTGTGAAATTTCCATGCAGGTTTCATCCTCTAAAACATTGATAACACCTGTCCAGTGCAAGTCTTTGTGGAGGCAATTCAAAACAGAGACAGAGTACAGTGTATCTCAAGCCATTTCTGCACAGGCACGATGTTTCTTATTTGTTAAATGATTTTTAAAGTTCCTCTATGTATTGGAAAAATGGAAAATCTATTATGATTATTTGAAAATTAATATTATTAATGTAAATTCTATGCTTTTGTTTTGGATATTAAGGAAAGGAGGCAAGTTAATGCTCTTATATTTTCACTTAGTATGATGCTTGTATTGATTAAATTTTGGCATGGTCCAAATGATTTTGCTCTTCTGTGGTAGGTAATGTTTAGGTTCCATCATGGATGCATAAACTATCAATACATTTCAATATCTTGTTGGAAGACATTTTACTATTCTACCAATTGATGTAATATTCTTTGTATTTTCAGGAAGCAAACAAGCGCAACAACAACTGGTTACCTCCCCCTTGGGCAATTGCTGCCTTGGTTATTCTGGGATTTAATGAATTTATGACACTTTTAAGGTGCATGCCAACCTCATTCTGCTGATATTATTTAGCATTCCTTCTTTGGTTTTCTCTTGCTCTTGACTTGCATCTTGCTCCTCTAACAGCTGCTTAATTTAGAAGTAGTTATTGTAAAATGAGAATATTTTGTGTTGGAAATAAACTTGTTTGGTATTTTCTGGGTACATTAATAACATAATAATGTTACCTAAAACACAGACCTAAGAAAACTATTTACTTTTGTGTACTATTTAGTTGATCTCATCCAATTTTTATATTTTCCGTTGCAGAAATCCCTTGTATTTGGGTGTCATCTTTGTTGGTTATCTTCTTATTAAAGCCCTATGGGTGCAGCTTGACATTTCGGGTGAATTTCGCAATGGAGCTGTGAGTATAAGCTTTAACGAGCTTTATAATTTATTGTTCAATCTCAGTATTGATAAGCCTGTCTGTAACAAATTCAGCTACAATAAGAAGCTATTAGGCATTCAATAGTGTTGTCATCTATTCAAGTTTATACTCGCCTTATTTCTTACCCTTTTCTTCCTTCAGCTTCCGGGACTCATATCCTTGTCTAGCAAGTTTATTCCAACCATCATGAATCTGATGAAAAAGCTAGCAGAGGAGGGACAGAATCATGCAGCTAACAATCCTCAGAGAACCCCATCAAAAAACAGTTACAATGAGAGTCATGCTGTGTCGTCAAGTTCATCATCTAACCTGACTGCATTGGACAACGGAGCCGAGTATGCCAGTTCAGTAAAAGAAGAGTAGGTGAAGAAACTTATCATTTGAAAACTAAATTCTTGTGTTGGAAGATGGTGTGTGGTGGCTGCATGCTTGTCCACAAAATTCATGACTTGTGAGCGTTCAAGACTTTCAAAGGCATTTTTTTTTTTTTATGCAAGTGCCGTATACAGGGGGCAATGTTTTATTGTGAGGTAGTTCCCCGTTACAATAGTGTTCTCTTTTCCATTTTAGGTGCTTCAGTTATTGGAAAAGTTAGCTTATTTTTCACGGTCTTTGTCTTTTTGATGCTTATGTGCTGCTTTTGCAATCAATTTTGTTTGTAACTTTATCAGTCTACTACTGATTGTTTCTTCCTTTGGCAAATTTATTGATTGGATTCGTGTGTTGATATTAGATCATTTTAAAAGAGATACTGAAGCTGATCCTGCTTGTAACATGGTGTTGGAAGATTCTACATTTAATTCTTCTATTAATTTTAGGCATTGATGCTTTTACCAAGTATATAATTAATGTTTTAAAACTCAAAATTGTACCTTCATTAAGACTAAAATTGATAATTATAAACATTTGAATATAAAATAAGTTTATCCCAAAGCTATATTTGCTTGATTTTATGAGTTGTAACATAACAACATCAATTTGATTATTTATTGGCCATAATAAATATGCCTAAACGAAGATATAATATTAGGAGCATTCAGGCATGACAACGGGATGGGGTCGGCTTTTGCCTCTCCGTTTTTTGTCTTCGATTTTTTTAATCATTCTCGTCCCCGTTCTTGTTGGGGATAAAAATTAAGTCTCCGTTTCCGTTGTGTTTCGAATTTTTTCTCCCGTTTTTTATCTATATTATTTTTAAAAAGATAATTATATTTATAATAAATTAATTTTATTATGTATTTTTTATATATAAATAAATATTTATAATTTTATAGTTTATAATTATTATTAATTAAATATACATTTTAATTGATTATATTTTATTTATATATATATAGAAAATATTTATAACATTATTATTATTATTCAAATATTTGAATATTTATAACATTATTATTATAATACTGTATTCAAATATTTAATTATATATATAAGTTAATTCATTTTTAAGTTGTCATTTAAAAATATGAAATATATAATTTATAAGAAAATATTTAATAAGTTAATTCTTATTTAATTAGTTCGAAGTAATAAAAGTTTAAATTATCAATTTTTTTAATCCTTTAAAATATAATTATTTTATTAAGATAAAATTTGATATATGATAAATAAGAATAATAAGATAAAAAATATGACATAATAAAACTTAATAAATATAAATTATAAATAAAATAATATTAGTTATTACTAGGATTTATATAAAATATTTAAAAAAAGATAAAGAAAAAAATTTACTTGTGTTCATCAAATTGATTGAAAATGTTAAAAAAATAAATAAATTGATGGAAGAAATTAAAGAAATGTAAAAAACAGAAAGGTAAGAAAGAATAATGTAATAAATTAATTGATATAAAAAATTAAAAAAGATAAAAATTAAAAGTGGGTAGAAAAAAATAAAAATTGGTGAAATATTAAAAAAATAACCTAATATATAATAGAAAAAGAAAAAAAAATATTTAAAGTATTAATATTTTAAATTTAAATATAAAATCGGGATCGAGATTACATTACTTATTCCCTGCCCAACTTTTTAAAGTGGAGAAAACCCGAACCCACCCACACTCCCGGTCAACTTAGATTTTTCCCGATAAACTCAAAGCAGTGACGGATTGATTCCCACAAATTCGGTTTAATTGGTATCCCTATTCCCTAACCTTCTATCTGCATTATTGTTGTTATTGTGACATTTTTTTGTCAAAGACGAACGTGACTCCCATAAATCTGCCAAACTTGTCCAACTTTTAAAACTGTGACAAGATAAAGATGTTAAAAGCTGTAAATAAAGAAAAACGATAGTTGGACAAGTTTACGTATAGTTTAACAGTGACATTCAATATTCATGATTAAAAGAATACCGTTTGAAATGATAAAAGTTTTAGGTTCCGAGAAGAAAGATTCAAGACAATGAAACCTTAAATTAATGTCAATGAAAATGTTTAAATTAAACATAGTTTATGATTAGAAGATCAAATTCAGAGCAAGTTTAATAAATTAAAACATTAGAGACAAAAATATTACTTTCCTTATTCTGAAAATCTAGCTAAAGAAACAAATCATACTAAAGTAAAAAAATTAACAAAATAGTTAAACTAAAGCAAATGGATCATAACTGAAGAACATTACATGAGCTAAATTTGGTGAGACAATCAATCTATTTGAGAGTAATAAACAGTTAATGTTTTAACTAGACACAAAAAATAAACTAGGTTTATCTTCTATCAAAGTTCAAAGTTCATTCTTTTTTAATACACTTTATTTATCACAGTATACTAAATTAACCAACAGTAAAATTTATATAAATGTTTTTAAATAATTTTTTTCCAAACCCTAAAGTAAAAGGCTTAAACTACCCTACTATGAATGGGGTGATTCTTGACAAAATAAAAATAAAAAAAATGGAAGAATGCTTTGAAAGTTGATGAAAAGTCATAAATATTTGACCTTGAAGGAAAAAAGATAAGGGAATATTTTTAAGCCTACCTACCCACCTACCCAATAGCCATGGGGATTTAAAGCCCCCATATGATTGTGGAGACCTTCAACTCTCAGAGATACAAGCATAGCCATAAACATAATATTAATAGTAGCAATAATATATAAATAATTTGTTCCATTAGAAGAAATGATAGGCATGGAACACCTACATCTCATTCATTGAAGGGTGGCTATGGGCCCACTTCCCTTTTTGACCTAAACACAAATGTAGGTTTCATCAAATAATTCATTTTTGAGAGTTGATCGTTTAACCCACAATATACACTTTATTAAAAATTCAATTTTGATAAAAAAAAAAATTACAATGTGGTTAATATTTTAATAATTTTTCAAAAGTATATTGGTGAAAGGAAATTTGTTTGGATAATACTAATAAAAGATAGTTTAGTTTGATGTTTTTGTTGGATCTTTCAAAATTAACATATACATTGGTTTCATCCCAAACTCAATTTAGTGTCAAATGTAATTAAAAATGCTGCTTTAGATGTAATCAAACATAATAATAATAATAATAATAATAATAATAATAATAATAATAATAATATATTATTATTATTATTATTATTATTATATTTAGTTTGTCCAAATAAGTATCCAAACTTAACTTCTAATTTCTCTTTCTACATTTGAAAAACATAGTAAATCACGTAAGCTAGATATTATCGATTATATTAATTAATGAGACCAAACATGTGTTTTATTTTTTTAATCATATTGTCGATTATTTTAATTATTTCTTTCTCTTCGTCTTAATTTTCTAAACTAGTTGTTAGAGCCGTGTGATACACGGCTTTTTGTAATTATATTAAAAGAATATCAATTCAAAATTGTTAAATAAAATATTTTACTTGATTAAGTGGCGTTAAACTAGATTTAGCATAATTAGTGGCATTGTAATTTTTTTTTTGCAATAATAGGTAAATTATATAAAAAATAAATAGGTAGAAATAATATAAATTCTAAACAAAATTATAAATAACATGTATATAAAACAAATAAATTTTGGACTCAATTTTATAATTTTTTATCTGTAATTAATTTTGTTAAAACTAATGTGATAATTAAACATTATTTCTTCATTACTCCAATTTATATACTTAATTGTATTATAACACATAAAAATATAATTAATTATATATCAAAAGTAGTTAATGTGTATGTTGTTGGGTTAAGATTTATTTGATTTACATGGATATGTTTGTAAATAATTAAAAAAACTTATTTACTAATTTTAGTATGAAAATTGGTTTAGATTAAAAGAACTTTTAACAATAACGAAAATCGTTACAAAAATTAAAAAATGATTTTGATTTTATTTTTACAGAGATATTATTAATAAAAATAAAAAATATTTTTCATCTGTTTTATTTATTTTTTAGTTTCTAAAATTATTTTAACAAAATAATTATCAAATAAATTTTTAATTTTTAAAAAGTTAAAAACTATATTTAAAAATAATAAACAAACAACTTCTTAAAATTTACTTGTTATAAGTTAATGTGTACTGAAAATTCATATATTATCAGAGTATCTATGTATTCAAACAAATTGGATTGAGAAAAATTTATTATAATTAAATTAAATTGATCAGAGGATTGATTTTACAACTTCTTTTTATTCTTGTAATAAATATACATACTTTAAATGAAAAGAATTTCCTATAATTTGAAGTGAAAAAAAAATTGAAAAAGAGAACAAAGATATGCAAGTTTGAATGTGATACTTGCATCTGCAGAATTAATGATTATCGGTCGTCAATGCGATGGAAGCAAAGCATTGCTTGCAACATTAAATCAAGTACATGAATTCTGCCAACTCATCTCATGCATGATCTCATCTCTCTACCTTATCATTTTGTTTCAAATGCATTTTCCTTCTTTCCATGGCTTTCTCATGCCCACAAACAGATCCTATCTTCGCATATATATGAATGAATATTTGAATTTCTCTTCCAGTTTCTTGATAAATCTGACAACATTGACATCTTCACAAGTATTGAACATTTTAGAGGTTAATTTTGGACTCATTCTAAAGTTGACAATGCATGTGGTGAAGAAGCAAAGAAAATAATAACTCAGTGATGATATGAGTTGCATATACTGCTCTTCACTCTTCTCTTTCAGTCATTTTAAAATTTTGGTGTCTTTCACAGCATGCTTCTTTGTTAATTTATGAACTCTAGTGCTCTTGTCCCCACAATGCAGTATCAGTTCAAACATCTGTACAAGTTCGGGTTGGTCCAGTGGCATCAAAATCAAACACCTAATTCAAAGGGGTCAGTAATTTCATTTGCATGACTCAAACAGTAAAACCAAAATAATGGATGGTTAATTAGTTGTTCCCTTTATTCCACAGTGGACTTCTAATCCATGTGATAAATAGAACCACCAAACAAAACCAGCGATGATGCAGAGAATAAAGTTTAGTCAAATCAGAAATAAACCGTGCAAAGAAGAAAACGAAACTCCTATTAATTGCTCAAAATACTATTTGCTCATCTAATTTTCATGTTTGTGGGTGTTGAGATGATGGTTGGTATTAATGACTACTAAGTCTGGTACAAGGGTTAGTTGAAGGACAAAACCCAGGAAGTGCCCTCTAATCTACCATCCATCATAAGGAGAAAAAAATGAAAAGAAGTAACAAATTTTTGGTGGCATATTAAATATGGAGCTTTACTCCTCCTCATGATGTAGGCTGGTGAATGAGCTGTCTTTGTACAAACTCATGAACGTGATCAGAAAATAGAATGCCAAATCCAACGGCCAAGGACTCTAGGCTCTAACCGCGGCATTCATTTCCTCATTAAATGCCTCACTCAGAAACACTTTCCAGTGTTTCTAAAAGTATAGAGGTGAGTGGCATTAATGCATTATATGTTTTTAATTTACTTTTTCTCACTAACTGTTGGATTATGTTGCATAATCTTGGCAGATAAGGATGTATTTTACATATTTATATGATGTACACACAAACCAAGGCCAATGAGAGACAGCCACTTAAAGGTTGGGAAGAAGCAGCTTCTTCAGAGAGTGAGTGCTTTTTCTGGCCCGTGAGATTCCATGGCTTCAGTTGGTGCAGTCAAATTCTTGTTGTGCCTAGCTCTATGGCTCTGGAACTTTCTACCTCCTTGTCAAGGTTCGTTGTCTAACTACAACTCACATCTTCATCCACCCTTTGAGCTTAATTTCTTACATTGTTCAATCCAATCTTTGTTCCTTCAGCTTAACATCAATCTCTGGAAAATTTTATTTTCAAGATATATTAGGAGGGATTCTCATTTTTGCAAGGCTAAAACTCAGACTGAATTCTCTCTTTTTTGTCCTTTTGAATCTCAACTTTTTTATCAGCTAATGGCATATGGGTTTTTACCAATATAAGTTGCCACATACATGGGAAAAATTTGTGAAGTTAGTTTGTGCTACCTTCATTTGGGGTTTCATTTCTAGATCATATATACACGGCTAGATCATAGACAAATGTGCTAGTTCTTAAACATAACACTTTATATGATTAAATTATTCGCACATACGTCTATATGTATGTGCATTTTTCATTATAAAAAGAACTTTCTCTGCATATACCTTGTTTCACCAAATACTATTTTGTTCAAAATCTTCCAATTTTTGTTTAATCTTGCTGAACTTTAGTTATAGCAGTAGTGATAATGCATTGAAATTGTGGATGTTATTAAACTAGTCAAGATGAAGGGGCTAGTATTTTGATCAGCAAATTTCATTGCAGGAAATCAGCACAGGCCTGAAAATAGATACCCTTTTATCAGAAATGCAAGCTCATTCTCATCACCATCAATTTCAACTACCACCTCCAATAATGTCTATGACTACATAATAGTGGGAGGTGGCACAGCAGGGTGCCCTTTGGCTGCAACCCTCTCTCAGAACTTCAGTGTTCTGCTGCTTGAAAGAGGGGGTGTTCCTTTCACCAACCCCAATGTCTCTTTTCTTGAGAACTTCCACATTACCTTGGCAGACATTTCTCCAACTTCGGCTTCTCAATACTTCATCTCAACTGATGGAGTCTACAATTCAAGGGCAAGGGTCTTAGGAGGTGGCAGTTCTATCAATGCTGGCTTCTACACTAGAGCAAACCCAAGGTATAACCCCTTCCCTTCTTCATTGTTTCCTCAATCACATGCCAACTTTTTTCATTAAAAAATTCTCCCTTTTTTTAAGAATTTGCTATTCATTTTTTATTATTTTTTGGTAGAATACATGGCACATAGTAACTTGTGCTGCTGTGTAGAATATACACATCATCTATCTGTATTAACTATTTGGGTCAGATTTAATGACAAATCACTGCAAACAAAGTACTACATTATTTTGAGTAATATTTTTTAAATAATCTTGTCCTCATATTTTAACATAAACTTGCATAATATTTTATAATCATATAAACATTTTTCTAAATTATAATTTCATGAGATTGTGTACTTTATTAAAGTGAAACAGCAGGTACAGTAGAAGTAATGGATTTGATGGCGATAGGGTGTTAATAAAGTTCAACTACTTCTTGGTTGTCTGGTATAAGTTATCATGAAGAAAATAAAACTGTGTGTGTGTGTGATGTTACATTACATGCAAATTTATTCTGGACTCAGATCTCCATTTCATTTGGAATCTGTTATTCATTTTTATTGTTCTTTTTCTGCAGAATACATGGCATTTAGTTGAGGCATTTGTGAATACATGGCATTCAGTACAAATTTTGTTTATTTCAATTTTTTTAAAACCTAAAAAGTATATCTTTTGAATGATCTTTGACTGCACATTTTAACCTATACCCAAATAACTTTAAAAACCCTAATAACTTTAAATGCATTTTACTTTATTAGAGTGAAGAAGAAGGTACACTTGTAATGAATTTGCTGACAGAAATGTCAAATAAGTTCAACTACTTACTCCCTAAAAAAAATAGATGTTGTTTTTCAAATACTAGTTTATATGTAAGAATTTAGACAAATAAAAATTAGAAATGAAAATGTTTGAATGGAAAATTTACATAATGAAAATGGTTAGAAGGTTCTTGGATTGGGAATTGATTGGTGTTGGCTTGAAAGAGGAAATACTAGTTGATGTCAAAGTTTGATATTAATTCTGAATGACAAAGTTAGATAGTTAGATATGGTGGATGGTTCAGTCAGTGGCACGAGTTGATATCGATATTTTCAGTTTGTAAATTCGATTTGACATGTTTATATAATTAAATGTATATTTTAAAAAATTAATATAAAAAAAATATATTGATGAAGTGATCTACTACCTCGCTCTAATTATAATAAATAGTCTGTTGTCTCTTAATTTTTTTATTAGAATTGACACACTTATTTTACCATCCTCTGTTTTTTTAATATTTTTTTCATTTATTCTTTGAGTTTAAATAAATTTGATGTTGTGTTCAATATATATATATATATATATATATATATATATATATATATATATATATATATATTAAATGAAAGTAACTGAACATGTAAGTATTAGAGAATTTTTTTATACTTGAAAATTATGATTTCTATAAATGACTAATGGGTTTGGTTAAAAATATATGCGATAGTATTTATGTAATTTTTTTTAAATCAGAGAATAGTATGTTAGTTTTATTAAAAATTAATCTTTAATTTTTTTTTACCTCATTAAGTTATTTAATAACAAAAAAAAATATTTTCAGTAAAATTTTTCTTTTTTTTATTGAAAAGTTAGATTCCCACGTTTTTCATGGGAATAATTTAGTGGAAAACTTGATCCAAAATCATTTCAGAGAATTTTATTTTTTAAAAACGGAACCAAACATGAGAAATATCGAAACATATGTTGATAACAAAAAAAATTTCAGAAAGCGTAAAACTCTTTGATTCTTTTTTTCGTACCTTAAACAAGGAATACATTAGTAAATACAAAGTTTGAAAATATTTCCAAAATCAAATAATAACTACTAAAATATCATTATTATGAAAATATTCACACTAACTTTTAATTATCTTCTCATTATCTTTTTCTTCCAAAAAAAACTTTTCTAACACATTCTTTTTATTATTGTAAAATTCACAAGGATTCATAAAATCCTATATATACCACTTTTTATTTCTCAACATATTTCAGTGAATAACAAATTATATGCTAAAAAAAGAAGCGAAGTAGGGTACTCACTTTTGTTTTGGCAATTAAACCCGTACCGTGGGGACCAACCCGTCCTCACCTCGAGTTTGACTGGAAACCCAGAGTTGACCGGGGCGGGTTCGGGTTTTCCCGCTTTAAAAGTTGAGGCGGGCGGGGATGGGTAATGCAATCCCACCCCGCTCCGTCCCGTCCCGACTTTATATTTAAATTTAAATTTTAAAATATTAATATTTTAAAAGTATTTCATTTTCTTTTTCTATTACATATAAGGTTATTTTTTTATATTTCACAAATTTTTATTTTTCTTCTACCCACTTTTTAATTTTTTTATCTTTCTCAATCTTTTATATCAATTAATTTATTATATTATTCTCTCCCTTATCTTTCAGTTTTTCACATTTTCTTAGTCTCTCCCATTAATTTGTTTTTTTTTTCAATCTTTTCAACCAATTTGATGAACACAAAGTTAATCTTTTTTCTTTATCTTTTTCTAAATATTTTACATCAATCTTAGTAGTAACTAATATTAGTTTATTTATAATTTATATTTATTATGCCATATTTTTTTATCTTATTATGCTTATTTATCATATATCAAATTTTATCTTAATAAAATAATTGCATTTTAAAGGATTAAAAGAAATTAATAATTTAAACTTTTATTACTTCAAACTAATTAAATAAGAATTAACTTATTAAATATTTTCTTATAAACTATATATTGACAACTTAAAAATGAATTAACTTATATGTATAATTAAATATTTGAATACAGTATTATAATAATAATGTTATAAATATTCAAATATTTGATTACAGATTGTTATAATAATAATAATAATAATAATAATAATAATAATAATGTTATAAATATTATATATATATATATATAATAAAAAATAATTAAATATTTCTTTTACATATATATATTTTAATATAAATATAATAAATTAAAATGTATATTTAATTAATAATAACTATAAATTATAAATATTTATTTATATATAAAAATACATAATAAAATTAATTTATTATAAATATAATTATCTTTTTAAAAATAATATAAATTGGGGACGGGGCGGAGCGAGAACCGAAACCCAGCGGGACGGGGATGGGGACTTAATTCCTAACCCCGGCGGGGATCGGGGACGGGGACGGGGATGGTTAAAAAAGTCGGGGGCGGGGACGGGGGAGGCAGAACCCGCGACCGCCCCGCCCCGTTCCCATGCCTAAGTGCCCTCTAACACATGCACCAGCTAACTGAAATTGTCTCACTAAATTTGACTTGGTTGAACCAAGAATCTAGTAATGATCCTACCTCTTAGAACATTTATTATGGTCTGAAATGTCTTCTCAACATTTCTATGGAATGCAGGTTTGTAAAGAAGGTGGGGTGGGATGCTAAGCTTGTAAATCAGTCATATCCATGGATTGAAAAGCAAATTGTTCACCGTCCAACGTTTTCACCTTTTCAGAGAGCAGTGAGGGACAGTCTAGTAGACTCTGGTGTGTCACCTTTTAATGGCTTCACCTATGATCATCTCTATGGAACCAAAGTTGGTGGAACCATTTTTGACAGATTTGGCCGCCGCCACACGGCTGCGGAATTGCTTGCTTCGGGGAGCCATGACAAACTTACTGTTTTGGTCTATGCCACTGTCCAAAAGATTGTGTTTGATACAAAAGGTCAATGTAACATACATAATGTCAAAGAGGTATACTGGGAAATTTATGGCTTTTCATGTAACTTAAATGACTAAAATCAATGCTAACTTTGCAGGAAAGAGACCAAAAGCTGTGGGGGTTATTTTTCAAGATGAAAATGGGAAACAGCATGAGGCTATTCTGGCAAATGATAGGCATAGTGAAGTGATAATGTCTAGTGGGGCAATTGGGACTCCTCAATTGCTAATGCTTAGTGGAATTGGACCAAAAGAAGAACTCCAGAAGTTGAACATCCCAGTGGTCCTTGACAATCATTTTGTTGGGAAAGGAATGGTAGACAATCCCATGAACACAATGTTTGTTCCTTCTAAAAGACCAGTTCGTCAGTCACTCATAGAAACTGTTGGTATCACCAAGATGGGTGTGTACATTGAGGCTAGCAGTGGGTTTAGTCAGTCCAATGATAGCATTCATTGCCACCATGGCATCATGTCAGCTGAGGTATGCAATATTTCTAATGCAGTCAATTCCGCACATTGGAATTCTTACAATTTCTTCCTCCATTTTGAATTAAGTGTCATTTTAACATTTCTTTTGTTTCAAGTATCTGTCAACTTCACAATACTAGAAAGAAGTTGTTATGATCTTTTCCTAACTTAGTCCTTCTTTCTCTGACATAATGTTTAATAACTATTCTTCTTTTTAAGAGATAAAATATTAACAGCAACAAAAAAAATCATTAGTCCTATAGTCATCCCTCTTGCATAATATAGGATTTCCTTAATTTTAAGAGTCTAAATCCCAGAATTTAGCATGTTAATCATGGTATACAATAAGGTCCCCGTAGAAGGTTAGTATCTAGCTAGCAAGAAATTCCAATAAGAAGTCACTTTCATTTTTAACATTATGCACACCAGATTGGGCAGCTGTCCACAATTCCTCCTAAGCAAAGATCACCAAAAGCTGTTCAAGAATTTATCAAGAATAAGAAAGAACTACCGATTGAAGCATTTAAGGGAGGCTTTATTTTGTCAAAAGTTGCCAATCCATGGTCAGTTGGTGAGCTCAAGCTGGTCAACACCAATGTGCATGACAACCCTGCTGTTACCTTCAACTACTTCAGTCATCCATACGATCTTCAGCGCTGTGTTAAGGGGATCCGCTTGGCCATTAAGGTTGTCCAGTCAAAACACTTCACAAACTACACTTTGTGCGACAGAAAAACCGCAGATGAACTGCTCAACCTCACTGTCAAGGCTAATGTCAACTTCATACCCAAGCATGCCAATGACACAAAGTCACTAAAGCAGTTCTGCAAAGACACTGTGATCACAATTTGGCACTACCATGGAGGGTGCCGTGTGGGGAAGGTGGTCAACCCTGATTACATGGTCCTTGGTGTTGACAGCCTCCGTGTGGTAGATGGCTCAACATTTGATGAATCACCAGGAACAAATCCTCAAGCCACTGTCATGATGATGGGCAGGTATGTATGTACGCTGGGATCATGACACTGTGCAAACAAATGTTTGGATGATTACACAAGTTATGATACCTACATTTGCTTTTTCGTGACAATTATCTATCTATGTTTGTCACAGGTACATGGGACTGAAGATTTTGAGAGACAGGTTGGGGAAATTGTCTGGTATATAAGAAGGAATTTCTTGTGTGAAGATCATATTAAATCTGGAAAAAAAAAAAACTGTGTAAAATGAAGAAGCACTCTTGCACATCAAGAAAGAAAGGGTGTTAGTGATAGGATTGGAAGTGAATGTAGTGTACTGTAATTTCTACTAAAGAAGTCAACAAAGTCATGGATTTTTGGGGAGGAAAAAGCTATTGTAATGACTTGTTTTAATCTTTTCTATCTCCAGGCAAAAGAAAAAATCATTCTGGATGTTTAGATACTTGAAACCAAATATTATACAGAGGTAAAGAAACAAAACCATAGTGTCCTACTAACGCAATCTGTGTAAAGGAAAAGTTGTTGCTTTCCCTCCCTATTTTATATATATAATATATCTGCTTGTGTCACTTAGATCCTTTAAAAATTTAGTCCATTTTTTGTCAGACAAATAATATTATGGACATGAACAACTGGTTACGATTCTTTGCAATACCAATTGTTCTGACTTCAGACAGTTACCTAGAAACCAACAAGGGCACGTAGTTTATGCATTGATAAGTAGTTGTAGTTTGTGACATTTTACATAATTATCACTACATTTTCTTTCGAATGCATCTGACATGATATTCATGGAACATAAATTCGTTAAGCAAAACGCTAGATTGTTGAAAGCTTAATGGGATCCAGGCCATAGTTTAGTTGAAAATCCATGTTCACTGGTACTACCTCTAGACAAACTTCTCAACTTCTGCCAGAACTGCCTTTTCTTCCCAATAGTTAGAGGCCCTGATCGAGAATACCTCCTGAATGACTCAAATTCCTGACCTGTGGTACCGAGCAACTCTGATGCTGATAATTCTACCTTTTCTTCACCAGATTGATAGCCAGAAAGAGTTTTTTGATACTCTGAAAATTCTACTCTTTCACCTGAAGTTTCAGAAAACTTTCCTTCGACATCAGTTAGTAGACCCTCTTGATAACTCGTTGATCTTAAATAGTCTGTTTCCTCAAACTCACTGCACACCAGCTTCAAGGCCTGAACAACTTCTCCCATGAAAGGACGTTGTGAGACTTCTGGTTGCACACACATGGAAGCAATTGCTGCAACTTTGACCACAGTATCAACAGAAATGTTCGGCTTTACAACTGGGTCTATGATCATCTGCAAACCCTCCTTACTCGTGAGAAGTGGACGAGCCCATGTCACAAGATTTTCTTGACCTGGTGGTTGTGACAAATCCACAGGCTTTCTTCCAGTTAGGAGCTCAAGGAGTACAACTCCATAACTGTAAACATCACTCTTGACCAGAAGATGGCCAGTCATTGCATATTCAGGAGCTAAGTAGCTGCAAAACATGTCAGTGAGATGAATTCAGATTTCATTTTAAGGAATTATTAGAGAACTGAAATAAAACCTTTTACATGCCACCACCTACCACTTAAGCTTTGGGAAAAGCTGGTTTCATGATAATATATAGTTTATGAAATTACGATCAAAAAGTTTACTTTCAACAGAAGATAAGGTACTCTTGGTTATAGTACAAGCCCAATGGGAATCTTTCTAGAGGGTAAGTACTAAGACCTACAATAAAATTATGTTCCTTCACTCAACAGCTTACGCTTCTGGAGAGTTGGTTTATGACAGACAGGAATGTATAGGTCAAGTACCTATTATACATTAAAAATTCACTATGGTCTGCCAAACACTATAGATACTGGAATGAAATGAGTACATAGCATGCATGTTTAACTATCACATTCATCAAAGAATCAACATGAAGTGGCAAGAAAGGGATTATTACCCAAATGTGCCCATAACATGTGTGGAGATGTGCTTGTTCCTCTCATCCAGTGCTGTTCTAGCCAATCCAAAATCTGAGACCTTGGGTGTAAAATCATACTCCAACAAGATGTTGCTTGCCTTGAAATCGCGATGTATGACACATGGATTTGAATCTTCATGCAGATAGGCCAATCCTCGAGCTGCACCAAGAGCAATCTTCATCCGCGCATTCCAATCCAGTGGATCAGTTTTCTTGTCAGATCCTGGGGAAATAGAGTATTCAAAAGTCAAATTCCAAAAAATATGATATTTTTCACTTCCAACAGTAATGAATGAATTCTTAAACTATACTTTTGTTTACCATGTAAGTGGGATTCCACACTTCCATTAGGGACAAGCTCATAAACTAAGCAGCGAGTCTGTTTCTCAATGCAGATACCAAACAATTTAACTAAATTTCTATGGTGTAGGCGGCCAAGCATCTCAACTTCTGCCAGGAATTCACGACCACCACGCTGATCATCTCTTTTGAGAACCTTCACGGCAACATCCCTCCCATCATTTAGAACACCTTTGTAAACAAGTCCAAAACCACCTTCTCCTAATATTCTCGAAGAATCAAAGTTATTCGTCGCTTTCTCTAAGTCATTCAAAGTAAAAATCTTAGCAGACCCTGTATATGTTATTGTTCCAGAATTGAAGGACTGTGATCCAGAACCTGACCTGATTCCGTGAGCCAATGACCTAGCAGCCCCTGCTAAGAGTAAATCTAGTTATATATTTACAGTGAATTCCACATATAACAAGAGATAGAAAAGTAAATTGATCGATGGGGGCTCTCTCAGCAAACAGCTAAGAAGATTTGAAGTAAAATATGAACAAAACTCACAGATAGAAACCAAGACTGAATTAGCATTATGACGTTTATCATACAGAAACCTCTTAATTGAAAAGAGTTCATTTGATGTGACATTATTTAGAAGCCCTATCAAAAGTGGTAATTTACAAATCATGAAATATTTCACATGAATTAAAATTTTAAATTAATATGCTAATTCAAACCAAGTTTTAAGAAATAATTCATTTTAAATGGAATCAGTTGTTTTTTCATTTTATAGAATCCAAATATTGAGTAGAAGTATTTTAATAAAGGGAAATTAGTATGCTATAAAATTGTCTACGAACAGTTTCACGACAGTAGTCATTATAAAAATGAACTTACTCTGTACATTTTCTAAATTTCTAACAAAATTTTGACAGAGTCATTAGTTGCACTTACTTGATTGTTTTGAAGAGGATGAAATTAAGCCATCTGGAACTGATTCATGTTCATGAACATGGGCACGGCATTTCAGCACACAAATCCAAGCAAGACCAAGGAATACAACAAAACCAGTAACTGATGACAGCACAATTATAACAATCATTCTTCCATTACTCCCTTCTTTTTTCTTCTTTGGGATGTCTACTCCTAAAGGTTTCATCATCACTCCATTGTTGTCATGTCCTGGATTTGGCTCACCATCTGTAACAGAAGCATCTGAGGGACTTGAAGGGGGAGATGGTGGAAGACCTGCATTAGTTACCCAAAAGTATGAATATAGGGATATTTCTATACAAATAAAACCAAACATACCATAGAAATTCACTTTATGACAAAGAAAGTCCCAACAAAGTCATAATCAATGTATAACCTGGATACTGAACATAGAGTACTTCATAAGCACCAAAGACTGCAGTATCTATCAGAATCTCCCTGCGCCAGAATTTCTTATATATTATAAATGCGGTGGTATCATCAAATTTTACACCTTTAGGTACTAAGTCTATGAGAACAATGGTTTTCTCTAATTGCTGACTAGCTGCATCAGCACCCACTATGCGAACCTGAGTATGGTTCAGCAAAACACTCGCAGCAATTTCCTTTGCTAGCACTGCGACCAATGGAAAAAACTTGTAAATTGCAATGTTGATATCGAGTTTAACCTGAAACGGCCATACACAACCACAAGGTGACCCAGGAGGTGTATATGTCAAGGGCTCTGAGCAAGTTGTCGACAAGCAATCTACATGTAGGATCAATGTCAAATAGATTTCTTCATATTTTTGAAAAAGAAGAACTAGTGTAATTTTAAAATACTCTGAGCTAATGCAGTTGCAGGATCAAGATTAGATTACCTTTATTAGGAGGTGGAGGTGGCAGAACCAATTCATATGCTGGTGGTGGAGTCTTTTTCCTCTGCAGTGATGAACCTAGAGGAGAAATTCTGGGGGAAGTAGAGGGTACTGATCCAAAAAGGATATAATAAACAATCAGGTAGATGAAATATTAGAAGACAAGTAAACTGTAAAAGCAGTAAGAAAAATAAGACTTTATACCATCCAGGTGACCAGGCACAATAGCTGGTGATGGTGCAAGGGCTGGGGCATGAATATCCTTAATATTTGGTGAAAAGAAAGGAGGTCGTGATTTGAAGACTGAAGGACCTATTCAATAGATGTTTATAGAAGGAAATTAATTTTAACATTCTAATATCAATAAATGCAAAATTTTGTGTAAAACATTTAACAGCTTTCAGTCGTGGAATCAAACCTTGATGGTTGTATGTAGGAGCCTGGACTGGGTAGATTGGTGCTATAGTTGGATTGTTGGACTTTCTTTTTGAATAGTGATGCTTAAGATGTGAGATTGGGGAATCCACAGAACCATGTGTCCATATAATTGTAGGAGCTTTGTGAACTGACTTGGAAGGTGAAAGCGCAATGCTTGAAGGTACCCCTGAAGAAAACTTGGAAGGTGGATGTGCAATACTTGAATGACCTTCAGAAGATGACTTTGATGGTGGGATTGCAATACTAAAATGGCTTCTGTCACCGGAATGTTGCAGATTGGTGGCTACAGATGGAAAGATAAATTTTAATTATGAGTATGAACTTTCCAAGAGGAGGTTATCAACTAAATAATAAGTAAATGTAAAAGTGCTAAGCTAGATGATATTGTGAATAGATCAATGGATAGTTTTGGGGAGGTGGGTGTCAGGGCAGAAAGAAACTATAGAGCGGAGATGGCTTGTGCTTCTTGTTCTAAAAGCTCCACAAAATATATTTCATTAATTGTCTATACCATTTTCATGATCTTCAACCTGTTCTTAGGGTATAGCTAGTTCCTTAGAAAGCTAAATTCTTCATAGTAACTGGTTTGTTTAATTAACCGGAACTTTCCATATCCTCATGGATTTATAC